TTGAGCTCCTGCGCCTCGCCAACGTCGGAGAACGCGGCCAAGCCGACTCGGGAAAAAAACCGGGCCAAGCCGACAAGTGAGTTATTTTTTTGGGGGGGGCCATCCCAAAAAAAAAGCTCGACTCGTGGTTGCTGAGCAAACCCCACCTGCAAAACGATGAAACCATTTTGGTGGGTTTGGTGCAACCCCCCTGCATTATCCAAAAAGTTAAAGTCTAAAGATCCACCCAATAGCAGTCAAGCTTTGGAGGACACCCCCCCAAAAAAAAAACTTGACTCGGGAATTGTTCGCGGCTCGAATATTGGCGGTTTGGAGCCCAGTGGTTTGGTACGCTCTGTGAACATGAAGGGGTTCAAATCCCCAGTTCCCACCGGGCCCCCAAACCACCAATTCAGGGTTCTGAGTTTATTCGAATCGGACACCCAAAATTGGCGCTTGGATGCTGGGCTCCATCATTTTTAGAGCTGCGAAATCCCTGGAATTGTGTGTGGTGTCCTTTTGAAGCCCCCTGCCCCTGCTCTTCAAAGTACAGGCGTGGGCAATGGGTGCTGCAATGGCAAACCAGAAAGGTTGCCGACAGCTTGCACTTGCACGCAAAACTGGGTGTTCCAACAAAAACCGCTGTCGCTTCTGCAATTTCGAGGAATACAAGTCCTCCAAAACTTCAGGCGAACTGCTTGGGCGTGTCTCATGGGGGAAGCCCCAGAAATGGATCTGGTTTCCTTTTGGCCTGTTCTTAAAGCCAACCGAAACCAACCGAAAGTTCAAGAAAAAACGCATGGGGTGTTGATCCAAAGGTGCTTCTCGTGGGCCATTACGGAAACCAAAACAAAATGATGCTCACCACTCAATGGGGAACAGGTTGCCCATGGTCATGGCCGGGCCTTAAATGACATCTTGATCAACCCCTACGGTTTCTTGGTTGACGTTGGAAGGGGAGCAACAAAAAACTATTTGTTTTAGCAGTTAAGTGGTTGGATTTCAACCACCAAACCGCAATAGGCAAAAACGCGCAAAAATGTCTCCCAACAACAACTCGGTTGCCCAAAGGCCCTAGAAATAAAAAAGGTTCACCTTTTGGGGTCACTGAAAATGGACCAAAGTAGGAAACCCAAAAGGTCAGATCCGGTCGACTCGCCTTGGGCAAGTGAGACCACCATGGCTTCAGCTGCCATAACGCCCCCCCCCCCCGCCTCTTCTTTGGAGAAGCCCTCGTTGGCGCGGATGTACGCGAGCACGTGCACGCAATCCTGGCTCAAGGGACCCGAAGATGCGTGATGCATCCGGTTCGCAGCGCCTAAGAAACCGTTTTCGTTTCTGGGCGAGTCCATTGGAAATACCAACCAACGCTATATGGCTTCCTCTGGTTATTCTTAGGTGCTAGGACCTGAATTTCGCCCAGCATGCTTTCCTCGCTTTGAGCAGGCTTCCCTTGCCACCCGGAACTCCGGGGCCAAACCCCCAGGCGCTTCATCCCAGCGAAAGTTTCGGCAAAACCGTTGAAAGCTGGGGGTTACAAACCCATTTCGCGGACTCCCAAACCTTCCAAGCTACAGTAGAGGGGTTAGAATCTGTAGTCTATTTTAGTAGGGGAACCCTCCCCCAAAAAAGGGTGAGAAAGGGCACTACTGGGGGACCTAGCTGAGGATCTGAGCACTTTCTTTGTTTCTTTTTCTTTTGCCGGTGGGCCAGCTCACCACAACAATGATGAAGAGCACTCAATGAGATGGTCTGGGAGTCCCCTAAATTGCTGGCGACTGTGCATCATAACCCAGTTAGGATAGGTTGTAAGTCCCCTATAACCTGGATTGCTAACCATTTAAGTCCCAGACCATCTAAGCAGACCATCTAAGTAATTCACCGGAACCTTCCTCGAAGATGATGCCATCTTCAATCCCGGCGGGGAAAAGGCCGTGGACAGCCTCCTCAATGACCTCGGCCAGTAGAGAAACTGATCCGCCATGGGCCTTGTTTTGCCCTTCATCCTTGCGGCACACTAATGCCACTAACACAGCACACTAGCACGCACACCCGGCACACGTTTTGTCCTCTTGCGGCTCTTGACGCTCGCAACACACGTCGCTGGCCAGCTAACACCTTCCAGGAGTTCAGGATGCACCCGGCAGGGCACTTTACGACGCCCATGGTCTGCGGTTTGCCCCTGCACACGCAGCAGATGTAGTCGCCCACCTGGCCGATGTCCTGGTGCATCTCCTGGTCAGCCTGACCAGTGTGCTGGCGAATCTTCTGGCGGGCGCTCTCCACGTGAACATGACCAGCCACTTGCTCCTCCGTCTCGCGAAGCGCGTGACCAACCGCGAGGAACAGGCAAACGAGGAGTACGCGCTTCATGAGTACCACTGAAGGTCGCAGAGCCAAGTTTGCACGGAACTTGAATATATAAAGCTTTCAGACAAAGCTCTCTGGTCTTGAGAGGGACGGCTGCGATGACTGACGCTTCACATTTCCTTCCAACGGGAGGCGCCGAATCGGAACTTTGGCTTCAGACAGTCGTGTCTTTTGCGGCGCCATATTCTGGAGGGAACCACAAGGAAAACATGCCGGGTCCACCATCTTAAAGACAGACCCAACTCCTTAATGTTGACCCAGGAGTAAAAAACCCGTCCCATTCTTGGGGGGGTGTTCCCTCCAAAAGCGGTCTGAAGCCCCACTAAAAGTTTTAAAAGGTGACACCCCCCCAATCAAAATCAACCGGGGGCTTATTAATCCGGGGTTAACTTTACAACCCCTTGGCGCTTGGCACAGCTTAGCACCGCTTGGCACCGCTTGGCACCGCTTGGCACCGAGGCTCCGGGCAGAGGAGTGGATGGTGTACCCAAGCCTCAAGCGATGCATTCAACTGCAAACGGGCGCCCGACCGGTCTGCTAGAACTAGCCTCTATCTTTTGGCCTGCTACTGTGGATCGTTGCGAAATCCGCTTCGCACCACCTAGCAAACCCTGATTTCGCATGATTCCCCTGCAACTGCCAACCAACAACGGTTTCAACCATGGTTTCAAATGGTGCGAAATGGATTTCGTCCATCCACAGTAGCTTCTAGTTCTTACTTGGTGACCCAATTGGTCCATCTTACTCCCCCGTCCTGGTTTTTTTGAAATCACAGGCAGTATCCCTTGCGCAATCTGAAAAATTTGGGCCTTTAAACAGCCTGAGCTTAGGGAAACCCTTGGGGCTGGGTGCAAAGGAAGAAACGGGTAAAACTGTTTTGCAAAGGGGCACCCTTGTCGTGAGTGGCCGAAGTGCTGGTTCCTACCCAACACTCTTCACTTCAAAAGGATTTCCGAAAGGCCACTTGCAGAAGGTGGCAACATACCAGATATATAAACGCAAAAAATCCCAAGTGACCGTGCATATGAGCTTCTAACAACTAATTTAAACCACCTCCTTTGGGTCCCCTGCAGGAAACATACACTCGGTTGCGAAATCTGCTCCCCTGCTAAAAGCTTCACTTTTAGTGGTTTAATCCGGAAAACCCACTAGTTGGAGAGAAGTTAAAGTCCTAACATCCAAGCAACATGCCCCAAAGTCTCAGTTGCCAAAAGGCCCCACAAATACAAGGTTAACCTTTTGGGGTCATGACTGAAAATGGACCAAAAAAGGAAAACCAAAAGGTCAGATCCGGTCCATTCGCTTTGGGCAAGTGAGAAGTACGTGTTGCCTTACCCTGGCGCCTCCCCTTATCCTGGGAACATTTGTCGGCACTGCTAAGCCAGGAAGAAGCTGAAGCCGGAGGTCATCTATGTTCTGATCCACCAAACTGCCACGGGAGCGTCGTTTTTGTTTTTTTCTTTACAAGACCCTCCGAATTTTGATGGTCATCCTCTTGGTTTCCCTTTCCACCTTCAAAAAAAAAAACGGCGGCGCCCTCAAAAGAAGCCACGCCCTGAAGTCGTGTGTGTTGCTTGCGGCCTCGTTTTGCCCACCCGGAACCCACCCTTTTCCGATGGCCACATGGCTGTGGGTCAAAGAAGGGGTCACCCCAAAATGGAACCCCGGTAAATGGAAACATGGACTAAAACCTGCGGTCCCCTGGTGGTTTAATGTTGACCCATACCCACATTTAGGCAGGCTGCTTGAAGAAGAGATCCGCGAGCTCCTCCCTGCGATCCGCTTGAGGACGAGCTGTCGGTTTTTGGAGGGACTAGGGGACGATCGGGTACGTAAGTGGTTTTTGAGACTGGTTGTATTCTACTTCGGGGACTTACAACCATGTTAAGTGGGTTACAACCATGGTTTTTACCCACTATTCTATAACCATGTAAGTGGGTTTGTTACCCACTTACTAAGTACTCTGCCCCTTTCAGTACCCGTGGGGTGGGAAACACAAGGAAAACGACCCATTTTGAGGAGTACCCCTATTTTGAGACAAACCCATCTTGGAATCATGAACATGGTGGGCCCAACCTGAGAAACTGAACCCAAAACGGTTACCGAACCTTCATCCCCATGGGATCTTCAATCTTACCAAACCTTAAAAGGGTAAGTAGGCTTGAGGTTTGTCATTATCTGGGCAGGTGGTGGCAAGTTTGGATTGCTGGTTCACCGATGGCTTTTTTGTTGACCTCTGCCAATTGTTCCCCCCATAGAAAAGGTCTTTGAGACAAGAGAAATTGTGTGTCAATCTCTAGGGGGCCCGCAAAAAAAATGAAAAAACATGTTTTCCATTTCGTTTCCATTGAAACCCCAAAAAGACCCACCCGGTAGATTGGCGCCGGGGCGCATGTCCAAAAACCCGGAGTCGTCATCGTCCATGGCCGCGAAGAGCGCCCGGAACTCTTCGATCTCCTCCTCCGCCACGCACCTGAACATCCACTTGGTTTTTTCGACCCCTGTAAACAAAATGAGAAAATAGGCCACAGGGGGAAAAAGAAAAAAAAAAAAAAAAAAAAAAAAAAAAACATATTCATTTCAGCAAATGGAAGCCTGGCAGGAAGCTGGTAAGCTGCTGGGTTGCTCCAATCCAAACCCGAAATTCCGATTTTGGGACACTGCGACTAGGTCCTCCCATACAAAGGTTAGAATAAGGGCACCCTTTTTTCTGTAGTCTAATTTAGTAGGGGAACCCTCCCCCCAAAAAGTGCAAAAGGGCACTACTGGGGGACGCTGCAACAAGGGAACCACTCAAGACAAGGTAGAGGCACACCCCACAAGCAAATTGCCAGCCAACCAGCTTAGTCACCAGCCAATCGGCCAACCAAGCAGCCACAAGGGAACCCCCACCAAATGGCAGAAGGCTGATTGATTGATTCTGAAAAAAAAATACGAGTGATTCCTTGAACTGAACCAGGGCTCCCTGGACTTATGCCACGACTCACCACAAAGTGGTCCAAAAGCGTTCAACTTTGCAACAGCAGGGGCTTTCCAGGCATATCCTCTGTCTGGTGTGTTTGGACCCTGGGAAATGTGGCCACAAGTAGGGGGATTTGCCCTCTGGCTGCCCTGTTTCAATGAACGAGTTTCTGGGTTGCCCTTTAAGGCAACTGCCCCTTGCACGAGCATCCTCTCGGCCCCGGGATTTCTCATTGCTCGTCCTGACACACGAAGCCGGGTGTGCCAACTCCAGGCGTCACAAGATCCGACCCCATGGGCCAAACCCCAATCTACAAGCCACGGGTCGCTTCGCCAAGTCTTGCAAGGGAACCGGGAAGCCATGTGACGTGAGCCATCAACATGAATGCTCATTTCAATGTCGGTTTGGGTGAAAAGGCCATCCCCCCTGTCATTTCTTTCGCTTGCGAACCAGCCAGGTACCATGCCGCTGCTTCGTGGCAACTGTCAAAAACATGATCCAAGCGTGGCGGAACCTGGTGAATTTCCCCACGCCCCTGCTAAATGGAGCAAACGTCACATGCTGGGCTTGACGTTGAAATCAGCTAGGATTCTAGGGGTGGATTCCCCGTTCTTTTCAATGATCGTTTTTTTCAAAGGCCGGCTGTTTCCCCTGGGTTTTTGATGGGAAGGTACCCCTAGAAGGATCCTGAAACCGCTCAGGATCGGCTCCCGGGAGCCCGCGCCGCATGATGCGGAGGAACTCCGGGCGGCTGATGCTCTGGATGGACTGCGCGAGCCAGGGAGTTCTCATGGGGGAGGTGGAGCTGGGCGGAGGGTGGGAGTTGGGGGATTCCGTGGAAGCTTCCAGGACCCCAAAGGCAAAAACAACTTCCCCTGTTGAAAGGTATCTCACCCCAAAAGAAACCATCCACAAAGGAAATCTTTGGCATTCGGCCTTCGATCCCCGCCTTTTCGAGATATCTCTCGATGATGTCCCTAGCTTCGGCGATGCTGGTTGGGTGACCACACCTTGCAGCCGAATCGTGAAGATGAACACTCTGTCGAATCCAACGTTCTTCAGGGATCCTTACATTATACACCTGAACATTGCCTTGTCAATGGTGGAATTCTTTTGGTGGAAAAAGCCAAGTTTCAACTGGGCAAAATGTATCTTTCAAGGAGCCCTGTTCTTAGAACGGAGCTTCGGAGCACCTACCTTCTGGGGCACATGGCACGGGTGGCTCTTCAAAACCTGCTCCAAATCGAAGGAACAACGGGTGGACACACCAAATCAAGAACCCTTATAGCTCTGCGCGCCTACAAAAAACTCCAACCTTGAGGTCCCTGGAGGAAAAAGCAAGATTTAACCAGCGCCATCGATGTTCAACCAACCCACCTGAAAGGTCCTTTGAGCAAAAAACAGCTGGCACTGGTCCACTGGCCCAGAAAACTTTCCGGCGCCACCGATTTTCAACCCACCCACCCTGAAAAGGACAACTGCATGCAGGGCACCACCCAAGAGCGCCGGCCAACTCGTCTGCAGAAAGCTCACCTGAAAGGCGACGGGCCCACTTCTCGTCTGGGCAAAAAGCATGCCCTGTGTTAAAACGACCCATTTTCGCGTCTTTTACTTGGTTGGTGTGGCTTGGTGGCTTGGAAGTTGGTTTGGCTTGGTGGTTTGGAAGTTGGTTTGGCTTGGTGGTTTGGAAGTTGGCTTGGCTTGGTGGTTTGGAAGTTGGTTTGGCTTGGTGGTTTGGAAGTTGGTTTGGCTTGGTGGTTTGGAAGTTGGTTTGGCTTGGTGGTTTGGAAGTTGGTTTGGCTTGGTGGTTTGGAAGTTGGTTTGGCTTGGTGGTTTGGAAGTTAGGACGTGGTTTCCCATTTACCCTCTGCAAGAATGACGGCTCTCGGTGCCTGAAATTGGGGGAGGGGGGGTGGGAGGGCCGCGTTCACCAACTCCGACTCCAGGTCTCCGCTTTCCAGCGTTGCGTTTGAGCCAAGCCAAGCCCTTGTCACGTGGATTTCTTGAAGTGCTTTCTTTGCGGGTCCCTGAGTCCCAGTCTCTTTGTCTTCATGGAGCAAGAGCTTCGTTGCTCCAGTCAGTAAGCCCTCATGCAACGACTGCTTCCCTGGCGACTTGTTGGCTCAACAACCTCCATTTGGGTATGGGAAATGTCCAGCAGTGATAGGTTCCCTTTAAAACCAACAGAGGGGACATTACAAAAAACAATGTTCATTTCAGCAAATGGAAGAAATTAGATCGACTTCCCTGAACCATCAGTGCAGCATGGATCAGAAATAGAAACTGTATCAAAGATACCACAGGGTTAACTGTAGATACAATGAAGTGAGGTCAGATGATATTCCAGAAACTCAGACATGTTTCCTGAGAAACTTGCAAAACTGAAAAGCTTTACAGTGCTTAAACCGTAAACTAAAAATATCCAAATAGTTCAACTTGGGTTCTAGCAATAACATATTTGAAAGGACACAAGTAATCACAGTCAGTTTTATGACGTTGATACATTTACAAAGGTGCTTAAACATAAATGATGGTTTGTGTGTTGTTTATATTTGTTGTATAGTGTATTGTCGAATATGGACAGAACTGGAAAATATGTTCACAAAATGACAAAATCAATATCGCTGTGGAGGAACCCCATTTGGGGTTCCATGTTTGCCTGGATGACCATAGCCAACAAGTGGTGAATAACTTCAACTGATTCGCTACCTGGAGCTAACACCCATATACGTGATTTGCACCGGGGGCGTAGTTCCTAGTTGGGTTGGCTACCGCTAGCATGAGCAGGTGGTGTCAATCAAAGGGAAAGCTGCATAAAACACACACCTCTCATATGCCCTTGGTACGCAAGCTCATACCTACACTTTGAAGCGAATACAAATTTATGCTTGGGGCGCGTAATTATTTCTCTTGATTCAATTGGCCATGTCACTTTCTGCGGGATGGGCGGTGCTTTTTGATTGGCCGCCCTTTAGCAGCCATCTAGAATGGGGCCCAAGTGTTTCTGTTCATCCAAGTTGTCATCCAAGTGCGCATCAAATATTGTGGACCCTTCTTTCTCTTGACCCTGAAAAATCAGCACGCCAAAAATGCCTCTAACTCGGGCCCCCAACTTTTGGATTTGCCAAAGCGGCGGTCTTTCCGTTTTCCAACTGGCTCGCCTTGCCCCGGCGGAACCCCCCTGTCGCCCGACAGACGGGACCCGCCTGACAGGTCCGCGTCGTAGCGGTCGAAGAGCGTGTAGAAGGCCTTGACCTCGCTCCGGGAGAAGCCGAAGCGGTCGTAGACCTCGGGACTCGGAGGTGTTTGTATTGCTCGAATCGGTGACAGCCACACATGGCTGTGGTTGTCAAATAATGGGTATCTCCGCAATGGAGCCCTGGTAAATGGAACCAAATACTAACACCCTGGTCCCACACCCACATGAGTCACAATCAAAACCGATTCGGTATTAAACTGGTCCAAGCCCAGAACCGTGTAAAAATTTTAGAAGGCGGCCGCAGCGATGTCTGGTTGGGATCGTCCCTCACTAACCAAATCGACGTGTGCTTCTTGAGGGCCCACTGCAAATCAGCGTTCATGACCCTTCTGCGGACCTTGTCTATAAGCAACAGGTGCTTCTTGTGCACCTTGTCTCCGGCATTGTCTACCGGTGCTCGACCCCCCCTCCCCCCCCCCCCAACCACACATGATTCTTGTGGCCTCGCCCCTGCCATTGAGGCCCGGACGATCTTGAGGACAAGCTCAAACCTGGGTGTGGATCATTTGCTAGGATTTGTGTTTTGGAGACAAAGCTATGACCTTGGGAGACTCAGATGCCCAGTGGATTTCCATGGGAAAAATGGGCATCTTTTGTTTGGTTGATTGAAGGAGAACCCTTCCCAAAAAAAGTTGAAAAAGGGCGGAATCCACTGTGCAACTGGGGAGAAGTCCAAAGGACCACAATGAACCAACCAGAAGAAGCCCGCAACACACAACTGCCTTGCAAGTTGCTCCCCCTCCTGCTGGAGGCGGCCAGCAAGTACGACAGTTGCAGCTGGTTGATGGTTACAACCCGGAATGATGATGCGGATTTGCTAAAAGAAGAAGTTGATACAAACAAATGAAAATACAATACAAGTATCTACAAGTATCTACACACCTCGGAAAGCCTGTACACATCTACATTTCACCATTGATCGATCGATGAATCTGTCTCCAGCCTTCCTGTCTACTCTTCATCCGTCCGTCCATCCATCCATCCATCCAATCCAACCCAATCCAATCCAATCCAATCCAATCCAATCCCATCCCATCCCTCCCTCTCCCTCTCTCTTTCTCCGTCCGTCGGCCTCATCTCCCCTGGCTCCGGACACCTCACGCTCCCCTCGGAAAAAATTCGCCCCGCGCTCCTTGGGCCTCTGGCTCCCTGAGCTCCACGGACCCCGACTTGTCCTGGCGCTGCGATGTGTGGGGCTGGCGGTTCCGGGGGCGCGCCCACGCCCCGGTTCCCCACGGGTCGAAAGCCCGTGCCACCAAAGTCCCAAAATGGGCGGGGAACTCACCTACCAACCAAAATGGGATACCATTGGTGTTGACCACGGCCATCTTCCCACAAGAAACCAATACCTTGGGGACGGCCAGGGTCTGTGCATGTCTGTGGAAAAGTGGGCAACCCAACAAAGAAAAAACAAAAACAACAAATGAAAGGACCAGTACCTTTTTCCACGTTGGCTCAAAAGGTGATGGTTGGAACTGCCAAAAGAGCTGGGAGAAATAGGGGACGGTATGTCCCACCCAAAGGATGCATCGGAAACCGCCGATCTGATCTTTGGGCAAAGCTTGGCATCCGCTGGGCCAATCCGAGATTCCATGGCAGGAAAATGACTGCGAAAGGGGACCCCAAACCCCCCCAAAAAAAAAACAAGGATTCAGGATTCCTTCAAACTCAGATTCTGGTCCATATGGGTAGGGCATCCCAAACAATTGTTGGTTGTCCTCATTGTGTCCAGACGAAGCAGCTTGAAAACGGGGGACCCTCACAAGGCTTCGCTTCGCTTTGGCTTCCCCAAAGCCATATGGCTGTGATTATTTTAAGCTGGAACCAACTCAAAAGTGGTTGGTGGCTACCTGAACGCCCCAAGCATGCTGACTTCCACCAAAGGGTCCGGGACGATGAATTTTGAGTTTTGTTCTCTTGTTTTTGCTTTTTTGTCTTGACCAGTAAAAAGTCGTATTTTACAGCATGTTCTCGCAAAATTGCGTTGTTTTTTTCCCTCGGAGACCTGTTCCGGTCCTTGTCCACCTCTTCGAAGATCTCGTCCAGCGTATCCCTGCCATCTTCAACCCGATGGCAGCCACCAGTGATTCAAGCTGGGAGGGGTTCTCAAAATACTCCCAGCTGTGTTGTGGGGGGTTCTACCTGTCGGGGGTTCTCAAGCTGGGAGGTGATTCAAGCTGGGAGAAACTGTTCAAAGAAACATACGGCAGGCGATAGTCCGACAGACACATGCTTCTCTTAGGAGTGGCTGCCTTATTTTCACCAAGGCATGTTCAAGCAATTGCCCAACCCCGCCCCTCCCCTCCCCAGACTTCTCGTCTATGGAAGGACCATCGGAAACCCACCGGCCCCACCGGGGACTGGGGGGTTGCCACATCTCACCCCCGGCCATCCGCGCAGTCGCCTGTTCACCGAGTACCCGGTGTCCCACAGGAGCCTTCGGAGCTCCGCTTTGTCGATGGACCCTGCGCGCAAATGCCCCGCTCGACCCAAGCCGGGGAAATGGATGCGTGGCTTCTTTCGGGCTCGTTCTGCCCCCTCCCCCCCCAAAAAAAAACACGGACATGGATCCCAACAAGCCATCACCTTCAGAGGGGGAACAGGTGGGGTCGGATTTTTGCAGGATACATGTGGGCCATTCACAAACCACCTTGACCATCCGATTTAGAGGTTTCCCCCTGTAAAGCCGCCGGTGTCCCCTGTTTTTTTTCTCCCTGGAACAGGCCCGAAAAGCCCTTTGTCAGGCCTCCCGTGGCGTCCTCCCTTTTTTTCGACGGCTGTGGTTTTCCTTTAAACCCAACTTCCCTCCAAAGAAAAACGCGAGCGCCTGGCAATTCTTCCCTCCCCCCAGCGTCGAACGGGGAGGCATCGACGCGCCTGAGCCATCCTCGTCCAGCTGGTTGAATTGGGCCTTGATCTGCTGCGCCCGGTGCACCTCGAAGTGGTGGATCACCTCGAGGAGGTGATGAGAGACTGTGTGTGGGGGGGGCGAGTGGGAGGGAGGGGAGGGGAGGGGAGGGGGGAGGGGTGGGGGTTCAGGGAGCCCTTCTTAAGCCTTAATGCTTTTGCTCCCGTGTAGAAAAACTGGCTGGCCAAAGACCAAACCAAGCCAATAGAGACTTTCTGTTTCGCTGTTCCCTCGGTTCTTTTCCCTTGGTGACGTCAAACAAGTCTTGACGTGTCGTGCTTTTCGCTGATCGTGTTTGTTTGTTCCATATGTTGGTTTACCACTAGCTAGTTGTTCAAGAACAAACCAACCCAAAAGAGGGTTGTGCTTTTCAGGTGGGGGGTTGTTGTTTCTGTTGGTGTGGTGAATCGAGGCTTTGTGGTTTGATCGTTGCATGGTGTCCCTTCAAATTGCTCCCGGTGCTCAAGATCATCCGTTTCGTGGTGCCCACCCTCCCATAGAATGGCCATAACCGCCCCTAATGCAGCTCTTTAAACAACCAAACCAACCATATGCCTCATTCGCCCAGCCAATGCTCGCCGATGTGTCTTATGATCGTGCCCTCCAACCTCCAGCCATCTCCAGCCCGGCCACTGCCCGACCCACTGCATGTTCATGTACGGAAGGCACAAACTAAAAGCTCCATTGCCGCCAACCTCCATACCTCCAGAAAATTGTTCGCGGCACCCACTAACATGCAGCGAGGGCCCCCGTTAAGAGGAAGTCGTTTTCCACTAACCCCCGTTCACCCGTGAATTCAAGGGAAACCACCTACTATTTGGCCCTTTTACCATTTGCCTGAAGCCAAACCTGCCCACACCAACCGCCCAAAGCGAGCTCTGCGAAAACCACCGCAGCCGCGGCGCCACGGCAAACTCGTCCAGCGCCAAAGGCTGGTCCGAGGAGCTGCGGTAGAGCAGCGTTTGGAGAGCGTCCTGCGGTGAGAAAAAAAAAGGAGGTCCACCATGAGTTACAAAATGTCAAAACCCGTCCTGTGTTTTCTTTGTTACATATACCAACACACACACACACATATATATATATATATATTAATGTATAATATATATAATATGTTTCCGGAGGAGATTGTCTACCCAAAACGATGGTTCAATAATTTAAAAGGCGGAGTCCGCACCGGGACGGTCTCTGCCCGTCATCTATGCTGATTTTCATTGTGGCTCGCATGGTGGGGAAATAGACCTGTGTGTGATATGCATGAATTCCCATTCTTATGACGACGTTCATTTCCGAAACAACCATGGGAATCCATGACAGTGACATCACTGCTTTCTACATCTTTCATTTACGAATGCCTGCACCGTGGTTGAACCATACTGTGGATGGACGAAATCCTTCACCACCTCAGACGGGAATGATGATGACTCCCTTGCAAATACCAAACAAACGTTATGGTTTCAACCATGGTTTCAAAGTGGCGCAGGTTTTCGTTCCCCCGTATCCTGTTTGTTTCTCGCGGGTGCCAGGCCCTGGCGGACAGGGGCTGGTGCTTTGAACCGACGTTCGGGTCCTCGATCCGCTTGGGATCAGGACTCAGGTAGCTCAGCGCCTCCAAGGCCCGCGGGATGCGGTCGATGGGCAAGCCTCGGGAAGGAGCTAGCTGACATCCGGCACCAAAATGAGTTGCATTCCCCCCTGCTTGGTCCTCCAGTAGAGAGGTTAGAATAAAGGTACCCTTTTTCTGCAGTCTAATTTAGTAAGGGAACCCTCCCCCAAAAAAGGGGTAAAAGGGCACTACTCGGGGGACCTGGACTACAAAGAGACACCCATTTGGGTATGGGTCAACATTAAACCGCGAATTGGGTTTGGCATGTTTTTTTGGTCCTTTGCATTTACCTCCGAGACAAGTCTTTCTGAAAGACAGGCCCAATTCAATTGGGCGGGGCCACCGGATTGTTGGTTTGCGCAGTGCAGTGCAGTTCCTCTTGTGTTTGGGTCCGGAGAAGTGCTGTGTTGCGCCAAAGGAATCTGCAACATGTCGATCCGAGAATTTCAATGAGGAACACCCTCAAATATGGTTACCCCCCAATGTAAAATAATGTCCAAGGTGTTCTCAATTCAGTTTGGGTCAACCCAGAAGAACTGTTTCGTTTGCCAGGGCCACTGGTTGCAACGGGGCATTCCATTTCATTCCCGGCAAATATGTACAGAAAAGCAGCTAGAAAGGGGTTGCCGGGGATTTGCCACCAAATTACTTCATGACAAGAGAATAGGTGACCAGGACCACCCCAAAAAGGGTTGCCCTGGACGGCTCCTCTGCCGTCGGTGGAAAACAAACGGGTTCGCCTCCCGTGGCGTTTAGCGAACATTGCCAAAATGAGAGACAAACAAAATGCTGACCCTGACCCAACCTACCTCAAACCCGAACCGACCACGTCTTCAGGTCAATTCCTTTCTCTGATTCCATTTTGTTACGCGTCGCCCGCTCAAACTCCGCCGAAAATTTCGCGCGCCGAGGGCCCGGGCCGTTGCCGCTGTTGGCGGGGTACTCCATCGAGGCGTGGGTCGCCTGCACCTTCGCGTTCCGCGCGATCTCGCGGACCTGCCGGGCCGGGACCGGGACTCTCGCTGCTTCTTGGTCTCACGCGCTCAGTCAATTATGATGCCCTTCCATTTGCTTTTTCGACCCCTGGAAAAAAATGAGAACATATGTCCAGCAGTGATAGGTTCCAACTTTAAAACCAACAGGGGAAAATAAGAAGTCTTCTCAAGCAAATGGAACCTGAGATCGAAGCAGGTGCCGGGAAATGGCTCTGGTTGCGTCGGCTTCAGAGCCAACGGGCCAACCAGTTTGAAGGTTGCGAGTGGCGAAATCCAGAAATCGCGCCATGTTGGGTGAAAACCAGAACCAAACGTTGGTAATTGAAGGGGGCGCATGCCAGGGTTTCTTAGGCGGTGCGAAATGGATTTCGCCCATCCACAGTAATGGGAGAAAGTAGGTATGGCCAGGGGATCTTGCCACTCCACTTTCACCCCTGGTGTACTACCCATCCAGCCAATGTGGTCTAAATGTGGGGTACGTTGCGAAAAAGGTCCTTTTGGTTTGCCTTTGGACCAGCGACAAGGGTACCCTGAAAAGAGCCACAGCCATGCTAGCTGCTAAATGGCCACAAAATCTGGCCATAACTAAGCAAAGTCGGAGACTTACTGACTCATACTGACTCCTACAAACAATCCCCTTACGTCTTCCTTTGAGGGAAACTGAACCCCAGGTTCATGCCCAACGCTCGGAAGGCCATTCCCTACCTAGCGCACCAGCAACATTAGGGAGTCTTTAATGAACCTCCTTGAACCTGGCAGGGTCAATTCGGTAGGACCCAGGCCCCCGTCACCAGGTCATTCTCCAGTAATTGAATGCCAAACGGCAAAGGCATGCAAACACGTGACCCAACATCCCGGCAGCCCCGAACACTGACTGGCAATAACCCCCCCCCCCAATATATACAATTATCTCGGTCGGGGGACTGTACGTCTCCCGAACATTGTCCAAAGGTGCCCTATTGAAATTCCTCGCCTCTTGGGTGTGCGTTTATTGAGGGAACCTTTGGGGCGGCTGAGAAGGAAACGACATGAACTCCCCTGCCAATGGTTTGACGCATAACTCAGTTGCCCAAAGGCCCCAGAAATAAAAGGTTAGCCTTTTGGGGTTATGACTGAAAATGGACCAAAATAGGAAAACCAAAAGGTCAGATCCGGTCGATTCGCTTTGGGCAAGTGAGCCAGTGGTTTGACCCATAACCCATCACAAGCCCGGCCAACCGCCAGGCCTCCTTCTGCAGGGTGGGGTCGGGCTTACTCCTGGGGCTGTTTTCCTCCTCCGGCTCCTGGGAGGGCCCAAAGCGCCACTTTCCGCACCAGCCTTTTTTTGGCCTCACGTCCCGGCCGGAGGACACATGTCCAGGGTTGCAGCCATCGTCATGTTCAAAAACCTGCCGTTACTCGTTTTTGTGTTTTTCCCCTTTTTTTTCAGGGGCGTTTTTGTTCGTTGCGGTTTGCCGCAACGCAGAGGTAGGCATGCAGCGAACCAAGCCGTCCTCAGCGTGTGGGCCGTCATCTTCATCCCAAGCCAGCATAGGCAGCCTTCGGACCGCCCGCAGTCTGTCAAAGCGGTTGAATCTACTCCAAGAAAAAAAGAGGCCCATGGATCCGAAACATGTATTTTTTGGATCAAACAAAGCCAAGCGTGTAGACCAAATGATGTGCAGGCATGAATGTATAAATGCGCACGTAACTCTTTAACTGTATGTAAACGTAGGTAACTCAACATGTTACACGTCGGATTTAAGGGGGGAGGGGCCAAATTGACCATAGTGGTGCTGTGCCCAATATCGCTACCGAAACCCGCAATGTTCGCAGGGCGGAGGTTCAAGGTTCAACGCCTTCCAGCTCTAGGCTAGTTGATGTGGGCTTGTTGTGCGGTTCACTGGGTCGTTTGGTCGCAAAAAGGGCGCTTTTTCAGGGGGCGCATCTTTTAAATGTATTTTTCAGCAAGGGCCGGGGTGGTCTAAGCAATCTCCTTGCCAAAGGGGCAACCCCAGGTCCCGAATGATTGGTTTCTTGGCCTCCCTTCAAAACCAAAAGAAGTTCCCCCCCCAAAAAAAAAAAAAAAACGGCACCCGCCTCTCTTGCTTCTTCTGCTCCCGCAGCTGTGCAGCCTTGCGGAACAAGGCCTCAGCACGCGGGGCTGGCTTTTGGGTACCCGTTCTTTTGGGGTTGGTGTAAAGGGAAGCTAAGAGAAGCCCAACCCTTTTTTGGCGGGGCGGATTCCCGCAGATTCCTGAAACGAAGCCACACCCAACGAATCAAAAGGGCGGATAACCGCAGCATCTCGCTTCTCCATGAGTTCAGCCAAGGCAGGCGAGTAAGTAGGTGGCCCAGGCAAATGCCCGCTATATGCCTGGGATTGTCCCTTAAACATCTGTGCCTTCTTGTCGCCTGCGCAGAGATTTTCAGCTGGGGTCTTTCGGATGGGCGTGCCACAGGAAACAAGAAAGGCATAACACCAACGCCAGGTCTGAAAACCCCCGCCATGTCGCGACGAAGGCGGCCTGGTGTTCTTACACGAGGATAGGACCCAGGTAGCCCAAAGAGAAGTGGGCGAGAGCTGTCAGCATCCAAGAATCATGGGAAATATCGATTCAAGAATGGTTGGTGGGCATACGTCCTCATGTAATGATGTCAACCAGCCCATTTAAATACGTGTACACACACACACACACACACGTGAGCACCTTTGGCTCATCTGGTTCTTCGCAGGCACAGTGATTTCTAACTGGGGGGTTGTTAAGTTGGGGTCAACGAGATCTCTTCTTGTGAGATGGGCCTCCCCAATCAGCTGGATTGCTGAATCCTGCGTTCGCACACGTTGAACCTGCCATTGGGCCCCTGAAGCGACGCGGCGAATCATTTGGCTCATAGCGGCATCCTCGAATTTACCCTCGATTTGTTTCTATCCTTTTAACGGGCAATCACCCCAAAAAGAAATCTGAGATCGCCTCAGACAATCTGTGGTCTCCTTGTAGCTGCTACGAGGAGCTCCCTAGCTACCTCTTTAAAGGCAAACTCGGCTCCCACGGTTTCATCCAGCCCCAAGCTCGGTGCAACTTCACACCCCTGCCTTGTTCACCCCTGGCGGGTACTCCAGCGCCTCTGGGAACTGTGATCTAAGGGATCCAAGAGGGAAGGATGTTTTTTGTCCTTTTGGGGGGAAATAGATCGGTTTCCCTGTAAACCACCAGGTAAGCCAGGAATCGCAATCTATCTATTTTTCGACAAAAGCAACCAAAAAGGACACCTATGCCCACCAGGGATCCACTTTCTGGCTACTCCCCAAAAGGGGAACCCCTACCTTAAGGGAAGGGGGGTGGGAGGGTCCCCAATTCCGTTGCTCTAGTCTGTCCCAAAAGGGAAAATGGAACCACAAATGGAATTCCAGGGCTCACCCCCCTTCCCCTTCCATTTTTGAGGGGGTGGGGATGGTGCTCATCCGCCCCAAAATGGAGGTCATAGGTTATAACCCATGGCCATGTGGCCCACATGTGAGTCACAATCAAAACCCGATACTAGTCAGGAATTAAGAAGGCGGCCACGGCCGTTCATGGTTGGGATCGTCCTTTACTAAGCTTCATCTACCCGGGTTTTGAGCACGTGGCCCACATGCGGCCCACATGTCTGCCATGCGGCGCCCTCCTTTTGGTGATCTGCACTCCTGCCTTCGGCTTGCCTAAGGCAGCCTTCGGCCTGGGTCTCATAAGGGCGAACCTCGGCAGAACCAAAACAAAAACGTTTCGGGGGCACGGGAAAACTGGTTACTGCTAGTGTCGTTTGCCTTCTGCTTGTTCTTCTTGCTCTTGCTCTTGCTCTTGCTCTTGCTCCTGCTCTTGCTCTTGCTCCTCTTCTTCTTCTTCTTCTTCTTCTTCTTCTTCTTCTTCTTGTTCTTCTTCTTCTTCTTCTTCTCTTCTTCTTCTTCTTCTTCTTCTGCTTCTTCTTCCTCTCCTGCTTCTTCTTACACCAGCCAATGTGGTTCGATAAACATAAACGCCTAGGCTTGGTATGTTCTGCCCTTTTCAACTCTTCTTAGTGTCAAACATTCATCGTTTGAGCCAGGATAGGTGCTGTGGTGCTCACGGATGTTGGGTTGAAAAGCGACTGGCGCATTTCGCCACCCTGCATCCCACCCAAATGGGATGGCATAATCAGTAGCACAGTGCCATTCACATTCAAGGCGGACCTGGAAGGACGCCTGTGGTGATTTCTGTTTGGATGGCGCTTAACGCCAAAAGCATACCCAAGCACAGGCCAGAAGCCGCAAAAAAACGGGCGAAACCGAACTTTCCAAGCGCACGGCTGATGGGACACCAGCTTGCCCTTGTGCACCTAAGGCATGACGCCGCGGGAAGGTCTGCCCAAACTTGCTTTCAAAGGTCTGCCGAAAGCAATTACATACAGTTGAGTGAACTTGCTTCGGGTCTGCCAAACTTGCTGCCAAAATTGGATAAGCCCCATGAATACCTATGTTGAATGGAATCACAGGGAAAGCCAACTGCATTGCTTGGTGTCGAAGTGATCTGGCAAGGCAACTGTCCCACCTGACATGATACATGGAACCCAACAAAACGTCCCCTTGGGAAAATCATGCGGTTTGACAAGAGACGTTGCCGCATGGAGCAAACCAGACTGAGGCAAAGTCTCTTGGGGGCAGCTTGTTGGTTGGTTGTTTGAAGGGAAACGAACAGGACACCAGCAGTTGTGGGGTCCAACTATTTTGAGCCACACCCAGGTGGGGGAGTAAAGGAGATGACTAAACCAAAATGAGTTGGAATTGTGCCATCCACTTTCAGCCTCTCACCCTGTCCACGCCTGAAACTCGTTCAGCAGGTTGCGGTAGTTCATTCTAAGCTCCAACATCGCCGGATTCAGCCTGTCGGCTGCAAAATGGAACGGCAGAAGTCGACGAGATGGGCCACTGGTCGCGCGTTCCGCTCACCAATTTCTTGAGATGTGGCTCTGGGTCAAAACCCTGTTCCCCTGGTGAACATGGGTGTTCATCCGCCCGAAAATGGAGCCATAGGTTATCACCCACGGCCATGTGTGGAAGAGTCGATCAGCTAGAGCGCGGGCATCCATATTGCTGGAAGAAAGGAATCCCCCTCAGAACGGACCCGTTAACGAGAAGTGGGTCTTTTCAACTCAGGGGTCAACACAAAAACTAGTCAGCTTCCCACTACATGCTGGTTTGGATTTCTGGCTTGGTGACTCCCCCCCTATGTTTGTTTCCCCCCCGGGCTTCCGAATTCCGAGCCCGTGGGATTGTCCGGCCCCGGAATCCCGAATCCGAATCCGCCGAATCCGCCGAATCCGCCTGGCATCCATCTTCATGCTCTTGCCATAGATCCGAGTCACTCCCAGGGGGAGGCTCTCCCTGTCCACCGAGGAGAGGTCAATCCTGCGGGAGCTCCGCGCACCAAAAAAAACACGCACCAGCGATAGGAGCGATGGGGATGTGTTCTGTTGCAACCAGGCCGCTGCGCATGGACGAGATCCGAAGCACCAACATAGGTGATAACTTATCCCAGTATTCAAAGGGCTTGATCCATCTCAACTGGTGGAGGCTGTTGTCCATCCACAGTTTGAGTTTAAAAAACTCGGTCAAAGGGACCAACCCCTTTTGGGGGGTCTCTTGTTGCAGCCTCCTCCCAATCATCGAAGCAGTTCCTCCCTTCCAGCTCCCCCAACTGAGTCGCCCGGCGTGGACGCCGTCTGCGAGAAGCCTGACTGGAAGTTGCTGCCCGACTGGAAGTTGCTTCTGCCTCGGGGGATAATTCCGACCGGTTCCAGGCCGTGGGCCAAGAGAGCTGGAAAACAGCTCCCACCCCCCAAACGCACCTCCAGCTTTCTACTTGAGTCTTCTCCAACTGGGTGCGTAAGGGTGTGTAGGGGGGCGAATGTGTGTGTGTGTGGGGGGGGGGGTCCGTACGGGGCTTCTGGAAAGTGCTTGCCTTTTGGCCCTGCTTCTGTGGAGAAAACGCACCCGGTGGCGGTAGGACCTCCTACAACAAGAAACCCTCCGAATCAGCGTGTCTGTGTGTGTGTGTGACTTTTGAGGAAACACATGGATGTGTCTCTCTGTTATAGTGCACCCCCAACAAAAATTGTGTTCCTCGTGGTTTTCCTTTAAAACCACACACATGGCGCTGCCATGGCGCCTGTGGAGAGAGACGGGCCCGAGAGGCTGCGGTGCATGACTCCTGACGGATCGATTCGCAGCTGCGCCTCTCCACACAAGGCTGAAGCTCACACCACATGGGCAATCTGTGCGTCCCGTTTTGAGGGATGAGAAACGTTCATGCACATCCCCTCACAATCGAAACTCGGGGGGTGCAAAAGCTGCTTTGCAATTGGGATCCAAAGGTGAAGCACTCGCTTTTAACCTCCGACACATGCGGCTCGAATGTACTCCGGCACAGGCCCCTCCACGAAGGGATTCTATCGTCCGCTTTGAGCATCACAGCAAAGATTGTCAATTTGAATTGAAGCCCAGGGTGGTGCCGGGCCGGGCAAAACCACCCAGTTGTTGGCATCTTGGGTCCTTTTGCGTTCCTTTCCTCAATACTTCCCTGCACAGAATCCACAGGATGCCTGAACCAGACTGCGTGCCCCTGGCAAAGCCTGAAAAACAATGTGTTTAAATCACCCCGAAACGGGGCATGTATTTGGACCCTTGCGCCTTCCCTCCTCTTTTCCCCCCTTTCACGCCTGAGCGATCTACAGCGCCATGCAAGCCGCTGAGGCTGGGCAAGATCGGCTTGAATTGGGCTACTGGGCCCGGAACAGGACGTTGTTTAACCAACGATAGCTTTATATAGTTATTGTTTTTTTTTCTTCTGGGGCTTTGTTAGTTTAGTTGTTTATCCAACGGTTTGTGCTTTTTCTCCGGGGGTTGGCAAAAAGCCTGCGGAGCGCACCGCGCGAGTTTTCTTTCCCGGCAATGAGCCACGGGCCCCGCGGGTGCACGCCCGGAGCCAGAGCTGGCGAACGGAACCTTCGAAGAACCCCCCGTCGGAGCCGAAAAAACGGGGCTCTCAAACAGGGCGACTGGAATGGAGACCTGCGCACATGGTTTTCTTTTCCTGGAAGCTGGGCCAGACTTGGACCGCGAGCAAGTTCACTTTGCAGGCTGAAAAAGAAAATACTGGAAAACCACAACTTGCCGGTGCTCATGTTGGGAATGACCGTTCCGGGTGATGCCCCCTTAAAGGAAACCATAGGACGGATGGTTCTTGGCGGGGACTTTCCATGTCTCTTGCACCTGGCAGGCCCAGCCGAAGCTCCCCACGCTTCAGCGCGAGCTTTGGCGGCCTCGAACGGAGGCGACGCTCAGGATCTCCGGCCCGCACCTGGCAGGCCACCAGCTGGACCTCCTTCAACGGGATGGGCTTCGGAGCCATGGAGGGTGATATACCACCTAGGTCCTCCAGTAAAGAGGTTAGAATAAGGGTACCAACTTTTTTGTAGTCTGTTTTAGTAGGGGAACCCTCCCCCAAAAAAGGGTAAAAGGACACTACTGGGGGACCTAGCCACTGATATCAGGGGTGTGTGCTGCCCTACCCGCTTCTATTGGTGGCGTATAAGTTGTAAACGTAAGCCTCGATACCTCCGAAACTTCAAAACCCATATCCGAGAATGCCCGTGAACATGGGGGAACCAAGCGGGCAGCCAACACCCGTGTCTTTGACCCGTTTTCTGGAAAGTAGCCCAACCCTCTCGGCACCCCACGTGGAAGCTGCCAAAACAAAGGCCCCTGGTTTAGGATAGGCCCCCTAGCTAGACTCCAGACGTGTTTAGGCTGGGCGTCGCTATGCGTAACTTTCAGCTCTGTGGACTGTTCTTCAAGTTGGAAACAGCAAGCCCCAAAACCATCCCTTGCAAATCTCCTGGCACTTGCCTTCCTCTTGCCAGAAAGCCAGCCAAGAGGATCCTCTCGTTTCTCCCCGTCACTAAGTTTCCCCGGCCCTGGTGCTGGCGCCGCCCCTTCCCCCGCCCTCCCCCAAGCGCCAGCCACCAACCAAGATCTGGCCGGCGCCGCAGTTCCTGGTTCCAGCCTCGGCGCCCGAAGCCGCCCGCCGCGCGAAGCCGCCAGAAGCGGAATTTGGAGAACACCAGTGCCGAGCCCGGAACCAGCTAGGAACATTTGTTTTAACGTTCGCTTTAACCTTGCCTCATTACCTCTGACCTCCGGAAGACACTTCAGTTGAACTGCCCCAAGACGAGATATCCAAAGAAGTGTACTGTCAACATGTGGGGAGTGGCAAGTGCCGGGTGCTGTTAACAAACCCTTTTTGGGCCCCACTTCATGATTGTTCGTTTTGCCAAGGCCAAGCACAGATTCAGAGCTTTCCTCCCCCGCCGCAGCCAAGGCACACGCACCTAGCGGCGGCCCTGGGCTGGGCATGGCTTCAGGCGCCAAAGTCGAACTGTCCGAATGTTCGAAAGCAGCAACTGGCTCCGCTGAGTGACGGTAGATGGCATCAAACGCTGGGGAGCCACGCCCGCTGTGCCAAGTCTTGCCACCCTCCCTCCAAGTACAAACCCCCTTTCCAAAGAAGTCGAGGCCAGGGGAAACCGGGCAGGGAAATTGTGGTACCCGTTTTCGACAACCAAAGCTGACAGGAGGCCTTGTCTTCCAAAGTCCTCCTGTCAGCTATGATTGTTGGAAATTCTGATGCCAAACCAAGGAACCCTAAACTGGCTCTCCATACTCGTGTCTGCTTTTGCCCTTCGAGCTCTCTATCTTTGGTTCGAAGCGGCGATGTTTTCAAGTCCCAGAAGGGTTCCACCGCCCAGGTTGCTTTTTACGGCTGCCACCTGGGCTTATTTGGCCATGCGTCAAAACCCAAGTCGTACCCCCAGCGAACATCCAATTCAATCCAACCACTAAAATAGGTTTTCTAAAATGGGTGGTGAATTCACCAATCCCAACCAAACTAGTACCATTGGTGTTGACCACCACGGCCTTTTGTTTCACGGTTCCCTGGTTCCCTACCAACCAAACTGGGATCCAGCACAACGGTTTGGACCACCACCGCCATTTAGCCTCCCCTTCCTCAGGCCCCGGCGGGCCCGGTCCCTGGCGCGCTTGGCGAAGTTCGAGCGCGCGGGCCCCGCGGAGCCGGGCCGCGCCGCGGAGGAGGGCCTGCTGAAGCTGAAAGGGGCGATCGGGTACTTAGTAAGTGGTGAGTAACCCTGGGTGTAACCCACAAAAGCCATGGTTTTCTGACCCACTTCACAAAGGCCATGGGTTTTCAAAGTCTCCTAAGTGGGTTCTAACCCACTTGCCATGGTTTTCTAAGTCTCCTAAGTGGGTTATAACCAGGCTTACTAACCACTAAGTACCCTGCCCCTTTAAGTGGGGCTCGGGTTTTTTGCGCCCGCTGGGGTTCCGCGTGCAGCAAGGTCACGTTTCAACGGTTTGGACGTGGATTGGCCAAGCCAGACAGAAGTTGGAAGGTTTGGGAGCGAAGCTTCGCCAAATGGGCCAAGAGGAACTTGCACAAAGTTAGTGCCTTCACAAAGGAGTCCCGAGTCTAGATCCTTTTGACCGGCCCCCAAATGTCCAGCAAGCCATACTGTCTCCAAAGGGGATACATGCGGGGAATCCGTGTCAAGGGACCTTCCTTGTAAATGGCACCATCATGTTGAAGCGATCAACCAGAAGCTCCCCTTGCTCTAGACCTTGTGACCTGGGCAGAAGGCGGGGAACCAACTTCTTTTCGCAGCCCAATCTCGGCTTGGTGGAAGCCTCCTAGCGTGGAAAGCAAAACTGGTTGGTTTTCTCTTGGCTTCCCTTTCATTACACCCACCCCAAAACGGGAACCCTCAAAAAAAGACGGGCCCCCATGTTTGGCGCTTCCAAAGCTGCAGGGCGATCCACCCTTTGCCCGGGCCTGGGCGGCAGTGATGAGGAGCGCATCCATCAGCGGCGGATGCCGCGAGGAAGTGTAGAGCTGCGGGAGCCGAACTCCCTTGTTTTGCGGTCTTGAAGGGAAACCGACAGAAAAACCGTTGGGCCATTTTGGGGCGTCCCCCCATAGAAAGACACCCACATGGATAGTCTAAGCACTCAACATGGTAAGGGATCCCCTTACCATAAGCTGCCTGAGATCTAAAGCTAGGACAAGTTGCCTCTAGACTTTCTGGCGGGCTCCATGTAATTAAGTGGACGGAAGGGTGAGTCGCCTTTCGCCTGAAGGTGCGATGGAATTGTCCTGCGGGTGAGTGGCGGTCAGATCAGCCCAAGACCAACTGCCTGGGGCTTGAAGAGGCGCTCCTGGCAAAACATCCTGCCATGAAAACCAACCCATCATGAGGCCTTTCGTTTGTCGCACGCTCATACGTTTCTCTAGGGGTTCCATTGCATTTCTACCTAACAAGCTTTTGCTTGGGCCGGTACCACCACCCCCCCCCGGCACAGGATGCGCTTGCCTCTCGGCCCGTCGGCCGCCGGTGAACAAGACTCGCCAACCACCGCACGTCGCGCAGTATTTTGCCCAACTGAGGCTGTACCAAACGATGTCAAGCTGGCAAACGATGTCGAGCTCTAGGCTGTGGAAAACGGCGCTGGCGATTTAAGCGGACCTCGGAAGATTGCGCAGAAATCTGCACAAAGCTCTGCTGACCCCCGCACTGAACTAAAAAGAAGCTTTGCATCCAGAGCAAGGCGAAAAGCAATTTCCTGGATTCCTTTTGAGACGCACAGGATGGAGGGGCTTCCGCGCAAACAATGCGGTCGAAGACATAAACCGCCGCCGCCGGAGCTCATCTGTTCGATTCAAATCTTCTCGGCCCTTGTGTTGGGCTCACTGCTCATCTGCGAGCGTCCTCTCGACGGACCAGGGTGCCCCCCGGATATGCCGACTGCTGCCCGGGGAGGGAGAAAAAACAAGAATCGCAGGACCAACTGCTTGGGATTCCGCGGTGTGCCATGGTGTGCCAGGCTAAACAAAGTCCCGGAGGAACTTGGCAACTTGGCCAAGGCCAAACTTCTCTTTTTGTTCTGGGTACCTCTTTTGGGGCTGTCTGAAGGGGCCTTTCTGGGTCCGTTTTGAAGAGACCGAGCCTAGTTCCGCCCATCTTGAGACAACTCATGTTGCTTTCTCGCTCGCTATGCGTTGCCGGCATGCATTCCAAGCCTAATGACATTGAAATGATGCTCAATCAGCTGCTTCCAACGTCTGCTTTCAGTATCACTCACGGTCACAAATCTGAACTAAGGGTTTTCCTAAGAGACCTGCATGAAATCATCTAGCTTGCCTCCCCGCGAGCTCGCAAGCACAAAGTCTATCCGCAAAGGGAACATTCAGGGAAAGGTTCCACAAATGGCCATGGGTCAAAATCCCAATCCCCACTAAAATAGGCTAACATGGGTGGTGAATTCACCTACCCAAAATGGGATCCCATTGGTTTTGACCCACGGCCAAATGGGAGGAACCTCAAATTCCAGGGCTCGAAATCCCTCCTCCCACATGGGCGAATCCCCACCCCTCGCGGCCAGGCCTCGCGCCGGGCTTTGGGGGTCCTCTGGCGCGCGGAAAGCTCTGGGCGCGGACGGTTTTTTATTGGAGGAGGCCCATGCACGGCGATATGTGTCCTTTTAGGGGAAATAGATGGGTTTCCCTGGTAGGTGATGAAGCCACCAGGTAAGGGAATCGAAACCCATCTATTTTTCGACCAAACAACCACAAAGGACACCGGGCTGAAACAAAAGTGCCCCTTATGCCCCAATCCCTTTAGCTTGTGGTGCGTATGCCTCCATGCCCAACCCATACATGGAGATGCCTCGACATCAGGATGCAGGTTGGGCGAAATGCGCGATTCCTCTATTGGGGGGAACAGGCGGAGGTCTAACCAGAAGTGGCTCCAACATGTCTAAGGCATCAGATCGCCCAACCAAAAAGGAGCCTCACCTTAACTTGGAGGTGCTGCTTAAACCCGCCAAAAGGAGAAATCTAGGGCGCCCTATTCGGGTCACAAGAGCATCTCCCTGGTCCTGATCTCTTCCTCACTCTCGCGCTTGCGTGTCCGCGCTTTGGGCGTGGCTGCGGCCGACTCCTAGCGTCGGAGTCGGCTTCTACTTCGGTCTGGGACAAAGCTAACCCCCTGGAAATTACTTGCTGAATGAGAGAGAAATGGCATGACCCCGACAAAAACCATCCATCCTATGGTTTCCTTTAAGTTTCCCAACACCCACCACCGCCATTCCCTACCTATCGCACAAGCAAGCGTATAGAACCCAAACAAGGGCCCCCAAAATGGAGGTTCCCCGAAGAACGCCTGGGAGTTTTTGCTTGTTCCATGTTAATGTGTAGGAGTTGTAAATTGCTCGTGGCCACGGTCACCACAATGTCGTTTTGAGGTTCCAGACTTGGGTTGCAACCAAAGTTCCAAGAGAGCTCTCTCTTCTACACCTGGGTGAAAGTAGAGGGCCCTTCTTGCGTTCCTGTGATACCAATATGGGGCATTCCCCCCGCTACTTTGTCACTTTGAAGGGGGTTCCCTTATCAAAGACAGTGGCGGTTCCTGAAACTAAACCCCCCTTTTCCACAACCATGTTCTCCGCAGGACAAAAGGAAATCAACCATGCCCGGGATCTCTGCGTTCCCATTCCATTCCCTGAGAATCCTGGATGCTTCCCCCTGAAAGCACCACTTTGGGTTTCTTTTGGGCCACTTTATAAGAGCACTATTCCCGCATGGATAGTCTGAAATGGGAACCAAGAGGAAACCAACCACCCGGAGTGACAAAAAAACAAGCCGGAGCATCCCCTTTTGCGAGAAATGGGCACTACGCCATTCGGACAGCGAAACGTGTCGAACCCATCTACTTTCAACCACTCCCCTAGTGGTCGTTTTGTGCGGTGCCCTTTTTCAGGCTATATAGCTTTTAAGGGAGACCAAGTGGAACACCGCAGTTTTGGGCCCCCCACCACACACACACACAAACACGCTCCCAACAAGGACAGCAACGATCCCCAGTATCTCGCCCTCCCCACGCCCACAGCGCGGCCAAAGAAAAGAAAGCCACCGTCCTCCACTGGGGAGGGCTGGGCCGACTCGGCGTCCTGCGGTTGCTTCGGTGTGTTCGGTTGGTTTGTTTGTTGCGTGTGTGCTTGTCCTTTTTTTTTGCTTTGTCTGTCTCCTGTTGTTTTGCCTGATGTGTTTGTCTTGTCAGCCTTTTGTTGTTGTCTTTGTCTCAATGATGCAAACTCCGCGAGAACAGGCCTCTTTATACTGTCCAACCAGGGCCGACACAAGGTTTAAAAAACAAATGGCTTGCCCTTTCAACATCGCCCTCAAAGAAACCATACTTCAAATTGGCCCCAGGCGTAGGGCTGCCGCGCCTCGCCAAAGAACGGGAGCCAATTCAAATCTTCCTGGCCACTCGCCAGGTCCGTTCCGAGGAAAGGCGGGGACTCGGCAGGTCGGGAGAGTGGGACGCTACCCACTTGGAGGTTCAACCAACTTAGTGAGTAGGCTACAACCCTGGCAATAAGCGGACCAACCCCAGTTACACAAGTTATAACCGTGGTTATAACCTACATAGTCAGTTGGTTGGATATCCATGTAGGAAGCTCCGCCCCCATCAACCCTTGTAACTTGTAACCAAGGTTGTCTGGCATTGGCTGACTCCCAGACCGAAGGCGTCCAAGCAAAAACCCAATTTCTCCGTGGAAGAGATTGCGAGAGCCAGGACCAACACCTGGTTCCCAAAGCTAGCAACACGCTAAGCTTCTACCCGGCTTCAAGCCTCACAGCCCACAACCCCAATGGGATTTCCGACCCCCCAAAGCTACGTAGAAGGTCTCAAAACCCCAAAACCCCAAAACCCCGTCCAACCTCTTTATTGCGCATCCTTACAGAAAATCCAAAGGAGACACGACTATTTTTCCCAGAGATTGCACGATTCCAGTTCTTGATATTCTCCCGATGCGCCCGGGCTGCCCCTGTGTACTGCAGGCACATGGGGGTGGCACCAAAGATGTGCCCTGCAAAGATAGGGCGGGGAACCAAAGGCGGCTAGGAGGGTCCCTACTGTGGATGGTTGCGAAATCCATTTCGCACCACTTGGAACCCATGGGAAGCCGTTGATTGTTGGCAGTTGCAGGGAAATCATCCGAAATCAGGGTTTGCCAGGTACGAAACGGATTTCGCAACCATCCACAGATATGTCTCCTGACAATAAAGGGAAGCCCCTCGGACCCTCGAAGCCGGCGGTTTCCCATGGAAAACCAGCCTGAAGGAAGCTTCCCCGTGAAAACAACATACACACCATATCTACCCCCCAATACAAAAACGACATGCTGAGATTATGGCCCAAATTGAGGGAAGGCGAAAACACTGAACCCTAAAAGGCAAAATTTATATACATAGATACACATAATGACAAATACATGCATTGGCGGATGCATGGACAAGCAAAGAAACAACTAACATGGCGCCAAAAATGGGGCCTCAAGAGGAAGTTGAATCCAAATGCCCAGGTGCTACGCCCCATTTGCTTAAGCATCTTACAAAAATACAAACTAATACCTGTTTCTAGCAATTTGCGATAGAATCCCTTTAAAACCAACAGGGGGAAACTAAAAACACATATCCTTCATGTTGACCCCATATCAATCAACCCCAGTTTGTTCATAGGAAGTGTCCTTGGGTTTAGTGGGGAATCATGACTTTGGAGTGGAACACCCCCTATCAATAAACTGGAGTTGATGTGGATGGACGCAATCCTGCACCACCTAGCAAACCCTAAAAGGATGATTCCCCTGCAACTGCCAACAAACAACGGTTTCCCATGCTTACCCCTCAAAACTCCAAGCCCTGGGGAAGTTAATCTGTTACAGACATATAGCCCATGTTACCCAACAAGTTGAAAAGTTGTGTTTTTAAGAGGCAAGCATGGATTCCAAGTGCTGCGAAATGGCTTTCGCAACCGTCCGCGGTATGGGGTTAACCTCAAATAAGCGGAAGACCCCAGCGACCTCTCGGCGCTTCTCACGAGCCCAGGCCTGGGGCTCCGTGGCCTCCGCCTGGCGCGAAGCGCCGGAGGCGCTTCTCAGCTGCGCCTCAGGGCCAAAAATCCGAGCAGCTCCGAGTCCAAATCCGAGCGGTCGAGGTGTCTACTGGGCTGCCCGTTTTCTGATCCCCCGCTCAAAGTGGCTAACTTTTAGCGGGTTAAATGGACACTACCACTACAGGGCTAAAAAGCTAAAAAGCTAAGGAACCGGATGGCTGGGAGCCACCAGGTTTAAAATGGTCTCTCTTTCTTTGAGGGTGCCCATTTTGGGGAGGTTTAAAGGAAAACCAAGAGGGGACACACATACCCAAACTGGTGATGTTCCTTTTGGAGTCCCTTTAAGACTCCCCAAAATTTGCGCACTCAAAACAAGACAGACCCATACTAGGCGGCTTTGTCAGTGTGTCCTGGGCCAAGAGTGCTCCTAATTTGGGACCTGCGGGATAGCGCCAGGGAGAGAGAGAGAGAGAGAGAGAGAGAGAGAGAGAGAGAGAGAGAGAGAGAGAGCGACTAAAAACTCCCCCCCCCAAAGGTGGTTTTCCTAATCTAAAAAACGGCACGGGTCGAAGTGTTGAGCTTGCTGCACCTTTTGGTTTTTCGGGAACCTGTTGGCTCGGGAGCAACCCTCGCGGGCATTTCGAGAGAAGAGCAATGTAACTCACTTTGAACCAGCCTTCCAAAAACCACATGCTTTCCTCCATCCAAGAGCAACCTGACCCACCAAAGGCGCCCTTTCGGTGACCTGATTTTTTCCTCTCCACCCCCATCCCCACATCCCCGCCATCCCCACATCCCCACATCCCCGCATCCCCCCCTTCCCCCCCTCCACCCCTTCCACGCCTCCACTTGCGCCTTGCTCAGCTTCAAGGCCCGCAGCCGCTCCAAGAGCGCCTTGCGCCGCTCGCTCGCGCGCGCGCGCGCGCCCGGGGGGTCCCGCGTAGGCGCTGGTTGTGGGGTGGTTTGCCCTCTGCTTGTGCACTTGTCCCACCTTGAGCATGAGCTTTCAAATGCTTTCCCAACGCGGTAGTCTAATATTACAGTTAAAGGACAACCCTGACCAAACCTCCCTGGGACCCTTCAAAAGGATTCTTTACCATGGCACATGGCCCCATTCGGCAAAGCACCCTTTGCATCAGACACTGTATATCAGGAAGCCTGCTCTATGTTCTTCGGATTCTTTTTCAGCCGGGTCAATAGTTTAGACACCTTCGGTCCACATAAGGAGCAACAAAGGCAGCGGATTCCAAGCACCTGGCGGATGAATAGGGATTCCTATTGACCCTGAGCTCCAGACAGAGTCAAGCCTAGTCCCATAGAATTTCAATACAGGTTCGAGGAGACCTATACATCATGAATCATATCCATAGAGCGCTTAAGCCATGATGCTGCAATTTAAAGAAAGGCAAAGGGAGATCGTGCCTAGGTCAGCCACAGTACCACATTGAATATCAATGGAGGGTTGGGCCAGCCTCTTGAGTGTGAAACAAATTTGTGTTCTGGGCTGTCTGTTTTCATATCCCCTACTGAAGTGACTAGCTTTTAGTGGGTTAAATTTGCAAACCCAACCACTAAACCAACTAAAAAGCTAAAAAGCTATAGATCCAGATGACTGGAAGCCACCAAGTGTTGGTCCGTTTCAAGGCTGGCCAGGGCATGGCAATTTTACCAATTGCTGCCCAACCCTGCATCATGAGCTTCACGGTTGCGGCACGCCGCTCGCAGCACTCTGCCTGCAGCCGGATCGTCAACTCCTCGATGAGAGCAGCCTCCTTGCGCTGTTGCACTGCCTTGATTTCGGGACCCAAGGGAACACCTCTGAAATGGGTAGCACAGCTCCAATTAATACCCAGGTTTGATTCATCCTGGATTTTCCTCAAGGAAAAACAGATTTAATCAGGATTCCACTAAGCTTCCATTTGCTTAAGCCCCCTGGAAAAAATGCAAATATGTCAGGCAGTGATAATTTCCCTTTAAAACCAACAAGGGAAAGTACGTTACATTCTTAAGCGAATGGAAGTAAGAAATTCATCATCGAGCTGCTTTAAAGCACACCTCCGGCGGTATTGAGATGAGTTCAGTCTCGCCCCTTGGCCACACACCCCGGCCTTCCCCGACTCCCCCCGTTCCCCACCCCAAAGCGGAAGCGCCCGACGCCCGTCCTCGCGGGAGCCTGCGGAACACGAAACCCGCAGATGCTAGAATCATTCCAAAACTGCCGAAAAGTTCCTGGTGCTCTGTTCAATGGTGAACTTATTCAAAAGAAAATGCCATGCGAGGAAGCAGTTCTGCCGGGGACTGCGCTTGCAGTTCATCCCGGAAATGAGTCAGCACACTCACTCCCTCGATGAGGCTGCAGCAATCTCACCACTTGCCTGATTTGGGCCCGGCAATTGAACTTGCAGAACTTGCAAAAGTTGACACTGAGGAGATGCTGCATGCTGGGGGAATGTCTCAAAATGTGAGCTCCTACTCTGTGTTGAATCCCAACGGCCCTACGCCTAAACCCTCCACCTGTTTAAGTCTCCGGGGAAAAATATGTCCAGCAGTGACAATGTCCCTGAAAAATAAAACATCTATTTTGAGCCAATGGAAGCACACCCCGACGTGAGCAAGCCACTTTTGCGCCCACCCCATCCCGGCCTGTGTCTGCAGTCTTGGCCGCCTAAGTGGATTCCCGGAAGATTCCGAGCCGAAGCTCGAGCCGGGCCCGCAGAACCTCCCCGAGTCACTGGGAAACCCCACGCTTGACAAAAACCGCATGGCACAGCGCCCCAACCACACGGTTGACCGCTCATCAAAGACGGGCCAATGGTCCAAGAGCCCATCCGACTTTGGGAAAACCACAGGTTTCAAGACTTCTGTTTAAACATCAGCTGATTTGTGTGTCCCCCTAATTTGGGCAACTTGCTGATTGAAATAATCCAAACAAACCGTCTCAAAGTGACGCTCTGACACGTGATGGTGCATTCAACACCCACCACCACCGCCCAAAGGAAAAAGACAACTTATGCTTTATACGGGTGGCTCAAAATGAGGTTTGGCCAATGTGTTGAATAATAACTGCAAAGGGGAGCTCGGGAAGGATATTTTGGATCTGCCCAGTTTCAAAGTTAAGCAAAGACCAGCATTTCGTTTTGCTTGATAACTTCCAGTTCCTCAGCTCACTAGAGAATCCTGTTCCTTTCCGCTCACCTTTCAATCACATCTGAAGTTCTGAAGCATGGTGTGCCCTTGGCCCCTTCCAACCCACCCAACCCACCCACCCCAACCCCAACCCCCAACCCAACCCCGAACCCAACCCCCCAACCCCAGCCCCTCACCCCCAGCCCCTCACCCCCACCCTCCCCCCCCACCCACCCACCCCACCCCACCCTCCAGCCCCCGCCTGAGTCCGCGCCGGCAGCTCCTCCTCCAGCTCCGCCACCCGGCGCTGGAACTCCGCCAGGCGCCGCCGCAGCGCCGCCTTGGAGCGCTCCGCGGCCTCCAGGGCCTGCTGGGACTCCTGGTGCACGGGGGGACGGGGCGCCAAAATGGGACTCTCTCCGCAAAATGGCAATGGGTCAAAATTCCGTACCCCAGTGAACATCTCAATCCCCACTAAAATAGACTGAAATGAGTGGTGCACCTACCCACAAAATGGGTACCAGTGGTTTTGACCCACAGCCAAATGGAAAAGGAGGGGGGGGGTAGGAAGTATGTTTAGAGGACCAGCCAAGGGAAGGAAAAATTGGAAAACCACACCCTGACAGGTTCAGCTTGGACCCCATTGACACCTCCATTATCCACCCCTTCAGAGAAAGAGGGTCCCCCAAAGCCTGGGAGTCTCCAAGAGTTTTGGGGACCACTCAACTTCCGATGGCCTACAAGGGTCTCTTTGCTCACCACACAGAGTTTTGCCCAAAAACTCAGCGGTACCTTTGGGAGCAGGCAAACCCACAATCCACACGCAAACAGGGGCCCAACAGGAGACAAGCCCCACTCAGTTTTGGGGTTCCCCTCCCAGTTTTGGAGGCACTCGAAATTCGGGACCGAATCCTAGAACTGACTGTTTCCGTGCGTCGGCGGTCGTCCTCTAAACTGGGCCAAATGTTTACCCCCTATCAAAAGCTTGGCGTTTTGCAAACTGAAAACCGCAAAGGCAGAATAAAAAGTTCGCAAAAAGTTAAGGGAAAGCGAAGTAAGTCAACAAGGCGGGCTAAGTCTGGCAATGTAAAAAATAGACCCAATGCCTGGTTTCCCTGCATGCTATGGAAACAAACTCATTGATCGCTTTACTGTTTTGCTCTCGGCCTCCCTGACAAGAACCCGAGTCCCTGCCCCCCCCCCCAAAAAAAAAAAGGAAAACAGCAACCAACACAAAAAACAAAACAAACACAATAACAAAAAATGGCCCCACAAAAACAAAACAACAAAGTGCTTTTGGCACGTTCCCCTACGCGTTTTTTTTTTCTCCGCGGGATCGCTCACGGACTCCTGGACCTTGGCCGCCAGTGCCGCCTTGGCGGCCCGCGAGGCTTCCAGGGCACCGGCCTCCGCCGCCCTCGCCCGCTGCAGCTCGGCCTGCGAGCGGAACTGCGGAGGTCACGTGGCTGGGAAGCGGGCGGCCCTTGGTTTCCATGTGTAAAGGACTTCGTCCATCAGTATGATTCAGCTTCCCTCTAACTTGTGGTTAATGTTTAGGGGTTGTTTCCCCAATCCAATCCACCAATTGAGGGTTCCTTGAATCTGGGCTGTTGAAAATGGAGGGTTCGCCAATCCTAATCCATAATCCCTATAGGGAAGCTAGTCTTACCCCTTAAAACTCAAAGCCATGTTCCCCCAAAAAAGTTGAAAAGTTGTGTTTTTAAGAGGTAAGTAGTACAAAAGGGACTCAGGGACCCCGTTGAGTAACCAAAGGTAAGGATTAAGGATTCCCTTAACAGCCCAGTCTTTTGGAGGGCATCCACCAGCCGCCAGCTGGGCCAAGAAAAAGAAAGCTCACGACCGCCCCAAGGCCTTCCTTCCTTCACCCCTTGGGCCGTACCGCGCCTGGGCGTCCTGGAGCTGCTGCTGGGCCTGGCCCAGCTGGCGCCGCAGCTCCGCGGCGGCCTGCGTCAGCTGCGCCACCTTGGCCTCGCCGCTCGCGGCTTCGGCTCGCGGGTGGGGTGGGACCCTGGTCACGGTAGGAAGCCACAAGTCCCCACAAAAAGGCACCCTAAGAAATAGCCACAAGCGACAGGTCCCCTTTACAAAAATCACTGAAAACTCCAAAGCCACTTGTTGAAGTTGGCGGATTGGAGGCCGGTGGCTTGGTGGTGAAGCAAGGTTTCCCCCAACCTGACGGGTTATCCGATTGATGGAGGCGCTGAGTGACCCTCCGGAAAACCAGCACCTTGCCATGTTGAGTTGAACTTCCTCTTCAGCTTCCTCTTTGAGCGATGTCTGACGCACGGCCATTTTGAGAACCCTCAAAATGTAGCCACATGAGAGGGGGGGGGTCCTGGTTTCCTTCCATGGCCCGGCCTCCCGTAACCCTTTGGCAGTGGATTTGAAAGAGAAAACCAAAAGGGCACCAGCCATTTTTTGAGGTTCCCTGGATTCTTTGGACGGCACCTGAGGATTCTTTTGACATGCCCCAATCTCCCCGTTGCTTTGGAAGTGTTTGCAAGAGTTCGGCATTTCAAGGGGGGTCAAATTTAAGGGGGTGGGGCCAACCCGGGCACTCGCCAATTTATGGCCGGATCCGTCCGTCCTCGTTGTCCTTGGACTCATCCTCGTCCTGCGTTCACCCACTTGTTCCAAGGGACCAGGACATGAAAGGTTGACCTTGTTCGACCTTAACTAGAAGTGGACCCAACTGCAACAGAGCTCTTGCTCGCCTGGATGCTGCAAGCTCATTCAATCGAAATCCTTTTCTCAAGCCCACCAAGATCCAAGCTGCCTTTGGCAGAGTGCAAGCTGAAAGCACACACACACAGAGAGAGACATGCTCCTCCCCAAAGGTTGGCAGCCACAGGAGGTTCTCAGCTTCCTGGAAACGGGCAAGCGCTCGCTTGTCCGGGGAAGGGCTTGGGAGTGCAACCACGAGCCCGGGGGACATGTTGCCAGAAAGGCACAGACACTCCCTGAAGCACCTGGCCTCGCCGGGGAGTGGCTCTTTTTTCTTGCGGGGTGTGGAAGGTCTGGCTTTCTCGTGTCGCTCATTGGGTGCTAGGAACTGCAACCGGGGAAGACCTTGCGGGTCGGTCTCTTCTGCCCCATCCCGGCCGCTTCGTCCAACCGCACGCTAGAAGTGGAAAAGGCCGGCAGAAGTAGCCCATCTTGACGCGTGTGAAAGCCAACTTGGCCCCCATGGCATTTGGGACCAACCTGGAGACTCCTGGTTTCAATGTGACCAAATGCGGGCAACGACACGAAACAGTGCATAGTTCTTGCTGCTTTACTGTCTCACATGCCCTGGGACCCCCAAAGACCTCAAATCATGGGGTCTTGGGCTCCTACTTCCATTTGGTTAAGACCCCTGGGAAAAATAGAAATATATCCAGTAGTGATCCATTCCTTTTAAAACCAACAAGGGAAAATAATAACAATGCAAATCTTCTTAAGCAAATGGAAGCCTAGGCATGGCAAACGAAGGCAACCCTCGACGAAAAAGCCTAAAACCGCGCGCCTGAGACCCCGAAGCGGAGCCCTGGCCCGACCGCGCCGCTTCCAGCTGCACCTGCAGGCAGCTTTTTTCAGAGGCACAGGTTTGGGGCCCTGGCCGCATCTCCATATGGTGGTGGCTCAAAAACACGTACCACGCACTTCAGGAGTGGACTGGCCAAAAAAAAGTACCCAAACTTTCTATGCACCACTACCATGGTCTTCTCAAAAAGTTTCAAGTCCAGCGACTCAGGAAGTGAGCCCAAAATGGCACCTTGGGAAATGGAACCAAAGACTATAACACCTGCGGCTTGCCCTAGCTCTTTCATTTTGACCCACAGCCATCTGAGAGCTTCTCCATGAAAAATGGGATGCCGGGCGGGGAAGGGGGGGGGGCGGGATGACGAACGCCTTTCTAAGGAGGCAGAGCCCTGGGTGCCGTGACGAGAGGAGTGAAGGTGACAAGGGTTTAGACCCAGCTCCGATTCGGAGCCTCATCGCCGGCTACCAAGTCACTCCCCTTCGGGCAGGCCAGCTCCCTGTGGTTGCCACGTTTCTTTGAACCTCCTTGTGGTCACCCGGTCACCCTCCAAAGTCTACTGAAGGAACCAGCCCTTCACAGTGGATGGACGAAATCCGCTCGCACCACCTGTGAAACCCTGGTTTCTCACGATTCCCCTGTCAATACCAACAAACGTTATGGTTTCAACCATGCCAGATGGAGTTCGTCCATTTTAACAACCCTCCTTATCCTACAAAAAGAAGCTTTTATGAGGGAACTGTAACTGGCTGATGGACACTGCCACAGCAAAAGCCCCTGCAGCGCAGAAGGACAGCCAAAGCAAAAAAAACAAACAAACAAACGTCATTATTTGAAGAAAAAAAATGGCCAGGAAACCACCCTCTTCCATAGGTGTCCTTTTTGAGAAAATAGATGGCCCTGGTAGTGTTGATTGAACCACCCGGCAAACCAGGAATCGCCCTCTATTTTTCAAGCAAATCAACCAAAAAGGACACCTATGCCCTCTTCCCCAATGCGCCTTGGCAGCCTTGCACTCCTCCTGCGACTGCTGCAACTGCTGCTCCAAGGCAGCGGAAGCTGCAGCCGCGGTGCTTTCCATCTTGGCCTGCGGAGGAAACCAGCGAGGCGCAGCGTTTTTTGGACGTGCGCCTCCACCCCCGGTGCAAAGTATACCTGTTGACGTCATGTTGGAAAGGACACCAAACAGAAACCACAAATTTCTGTTGTTTGTGCGGAATAGTCAGTGCAACCCCCAACCGCAAGAAATGGACTTTGGCCGACAGCTCCGCCTTGGTTTCCTCCGCAGCTGAGACCGCAGCCTTGGACTGCTCCAGCTCGGCCGTCAGCGCGGCTTCTGCCTCCTTGGCCCTTTGCAGCTGTGCCTCCACACTGGCTTTCGCCTCCTCACGTGCCTCGAGGGCGTCTTTCATCTGCTGCAGCTGTCCCTCAAAAAGCAGAAAAGCAGCGCAATCAACCGATCAACCTCTCTCTCACTCCCTCTTTCTCTCCCTCTCTCTCTTACATTGCACATCTCAACACGTCTGAACCCAACACCAATGAACCAAAAGCCCAAAATATGGAGCGGGACAAACCTGTTGCCAAGATGCCTTGGCAACCTTGCTTTCCTCCTGCCACTGCTGAAGCTGCTGTTCCAGGGCAGCCGCGGCAATTGCAGTGCTTTGCATCTTGGCCTGCCCAACCCCATACCATCATGCAAAATATCTTGCACCCTCGCACCAACTAATGCTACCCTTCTGTTCCATGCGCTACCCTGAAGTGGCCCTCCTCCGCCTGCCAACGCAAATCCAGGTGGAGCCAAGGGAACAGCGGCTCGCGCCTCTGCCTCTGCTTTTCCTTGCTTCAAGACGTTGAGTCTCTCCGCAACAGCCTGCACACGCCCAGATCAGTTCTGCGCAAGACAAACGCTTTGTGGCAACCCTGCCGAAAAGAACGGCAACAATTGACACCATCCTGCGGCCGGCGCGCGCCTCAAGTCGGAACCCGAGCTCCTCCACAGACGCCGCCTCCTGGCCACTGGCTTGAATGCAAGCTTCAGGAATTTCCTGTTCAGCATGCACAACTACCCAAGGCAAGACCGCGCCCGCAGCCCAGCGGCTCACCTTCGACCGACAACGGCAAGCAGTCCTGCGACCGCCGCCGCGCGCAGCAGGAGAAGGAGCGGCGGCGTGACTTGACCGCGGCTTCGCCTGCACATGGATCGGGCAAAGAACACTTTGCGCGGTGCCCACTCCACCACCAAACGCGCCCCACTTCGTACACACTCACAGGACATACACACACAGAGAGGACAACATACACAGAGGACACTGAGGACACTGAGTACACAGAGGACACAGAGGACACAGAGGACACAGAGGACACAGAGGACACAGAGGACACAGAGGACACAGACACACACGCACACGCGCACACACACACACACACAGAGGACACACAGAGGACACACACACGCACACACCTAGCCCTTCTCAGTGGAACGTGAGGCCTCTGACCAAAAATTCAAAGCACTCACCGCCAAGCAGCCTTCATCCTGGCCATCTTCAGCACCTCTCGCCTCAGCCTGACGGACAACATCAAGAGAGGCGAAAGGCAATCAACGCCTCAAAGCCTGACTCCCTGATTCTCCGACACCATTCCTCAACACCCGAGCCAACTGCTGCGCATAAGCGCCTGCGCGGGCTGGTCGCCGGGAAGCTGCGCTTCCAGTGCCAGGATCCGATCCTTGAAGCTCTCGAGGCTGGGCTGCAAGTCCGCTTTGAAGCGCTCGGCCGCCTCCACGGCATCCTTGGACTCCTGGACTTTGGCCGTCAGCTCCGCCTTGGTTTCCTCCGCAGCTGAGACCGCAGCCTTGGACTGCTCCAGCTCGGCCGTCAGCGCGGCTTCTGCCTCCTTGGCCCTTTGCAGCTGTGCCTCCACACTGGCTTTCGCCTCCTCGCGTGCCTCGAGGGCGTCTTTCATCTGCTGCAGCTGTCCCTCAAAACGCAGAAAAACAGCGCAATCAACCGATCAACCTCTCTCTCACTCCCTCCTTCTCTCTTACATTGCACATCTCAACACGTCTGAACCCAACACCAATGAACCAAACGCCCAAAATATGGAGCAGGACAAACCTGTTGCCAAGATGCCTTGGCAACCTTGCTTTCCTCCTGCCACTGCTGAAGCTGCTGTTCCAGGGCAGCCGCAGCAATTGCAGTGCTTTGCATCTTGGCCTGCACCAACCCCATACCATCATGCAAAATATCTTGCACCCTCGCACCAACTAATGCTACCCATCTGTTCCATGCGCTACCCTGAAGTGGCCCTCCTCCACCTGCCAACGCAAATCCAGGAGCCAAGCGAACAGCGCGCCTCTGCCTCTGCTTTTCCTTGCTTCAAGACGTTGAGTCTCTCCGCAACAGCCTGCACACTCCCAGATCAGCTCTGCGCAAGACAACGCTTTGTGGCAACCCTGCCCAAAAGAACGGCAACAATTGGCACCATTCTGAGGCGCGCGCCTCAAGTCGGAACCCGAGCTCCTCTACAGACGCCGCCTCCTGGCCACTGGCTTGAATTTCCGTTGCCAAACAATCAACCGTCATACCCTGCGAACAGCCCTTTTAACTACAACGAGTCCTGCGGCCGCCGACGCGCGCAGCAAGACAAGGAGCGGCGGCGCGACTTCACCGCAGCTCCGCCTGGATCTCGTCACAATCGTTGGTGACCCAATAAAAGGATATGCTGCCCGAGCATGTCCCCTGATTTTTGGCAGAGAGATCGTGTCCCCCGATCCCTCCAAATGAATCCTTCAAGCCAATGCCGACAGTCAAGAAACCGAAATAATGCAACTATACAGAATTATATATATATATGTGTGTGTGTGTGGGGTGGGGTGTCTGTTTTTAGGGGACCCGCAAAAGAGAAGCTGTTGCCCTCCAAAAATGTAACTCCCTTGTATAGCACTCAAAGTTAAAGCAAAGCAAGGCCACTTAAACAACATTCCAACCTGCGAACCTCTCAACCCCCGCAGCCTTCATCCTGGCCCTCGTCAGCTCGCACCTCGGCCTTCGTTCGAGAAACAGCCGCATTTTCACACCAGTGATGCACAGGCAAGCGAGCCAAACACAACATATAACAATCTGGGCTGTCCTCAGATCCCCCGCTAAAAGTTTGACTTTTAGTGGGTTAAATGGAAACTACCACTCAACACCACAAGGCTAAAAGCTAAGGAACTGGATGGCTGGGAGCCACCAAGTAATACAAAGGGTCGATTGCATCCGTCAAATATCACAAGCACATGCACGCGCCTCGGCGGGCTGGTCGCCGATTTCAAGCTGCGCCTCCAGCGCCAGGATCCGGTCCTTGAAGCTCTCAAGGCCAGGCTGCAAGTCCGCTTTGAAGCGCTCGGCCGCCGCCAAATCCGCCTTGGCCTCCTCCGCAGCCGAGACCGCAGCCTTGGACTGCTCCAGCTCAGCCGTGGCCCTTTGCAGCTGGGCCTGCGCGCTGTGGCCTTGTTTCTCGTTCCTCCACGCATTTGATCTCCGCACTTGAGGTTTGCGTGGGATGGCATGGGTCACACAGTTGCAGGTTTGCTTCATGCGGCAAACCTCTGAGCCTGAGTTGCCCCTGGCCGTTTGCTGCGATTGGGATTTCGCACTTGGCCGTGTCCTGAAACGTGAGATGGGAACCCTGGATTTGCAAAGAAGCTTGTCCAAGGGAGGCACCTACGATTCTCGAAATCCGGGGCCATGGCCTACGCCTTTGGCTTCCCTCCCCCCCCCCCGAAATATGTATATATATTTATATGTATACATACATGTATATATATATATGTATGTATGTGTATGTATGTATATATGTATATATGTATGTATATATGTATATATATATGTATGTATGTGTGTATGTGTGTATGTGTGTATGTGTGTATGTGTGTATGTGTGTATGTGTGTATGTGTGTATGTGTGTATGTGTGTATGTGTGTATGTGTGTGTATGTATGTATGTATGTATGTATGTATGTATGTATGTATGTATGTATGTATGTATGTGTAATGTATGTATGTATGTATGTATGTATGTATGTATGTATGTATGTATGTATGTATGTATGTATGTATGTATGTATGTATGTATGTATGTATGTATGTATGTATGTATGTATGTATGTATGTATGTATGTATGTATGTATGTATGTATGTATGTATGTATGTATGTATGTATGTATGTATGTATGTATGTATGTATGTATGTATGTATGTATGTATGTATGTATGTATGTATGTATGTATGTATGTATGTATGTATGTATGTATGTATGTATGTATGTATGTATGTATGTATGTATGTATGTATGTATGTATGTATGTATGTATGTATGTATGTGTGTGTATGTGTATGTGTATGTGTGTATGTGTGTATGTGTGTATGTGTGTATGTGTATGTATGTGTGTATGTGTGTATGTGTGTATGTGTGTATGTGTGTATGTGTGTATGTGTGTGTGTATGTATGTATGTATGTATGTATGTATGTATGTATGTATGTATGTATGTATGTATGTATGTATGTATGTATGTATGTATGTATGTATGTATGTATGTATGTATGTGCACATATATATATATATCTATCTATCTATCTATCTATCTATCTATCTATCTATCTATCTATCTATCTATCTGTGTGTATGACATATTTATATATAGGCACAAGCTCCAAAAAGTAAAAACCGCGCGCACAAAGTTGCGGACTTGTTCTGGGGGACCTTGCGGAGGAAATTGGAAAGTTAGTCGCTGGTCCGCCATGTCCTGTGCGAAAATTGTATTTTCCTGTTGGCTTCCCTTTGAATCCAACCAAAGAGGGACCAAACTGTGGATGCCCTAAATGCTGCAAATATATCGACCGCAAACCATGGCAGGGTTCCCCTCGTTCCCGAGCCATCCGCAACTATACACCCCAAAACTATCTCCAGGTATCGTTTGGGGAGACCCAGGTGTGTTTCAGCTGGTGCTGTATTTGGGTGCTTGTTTTCTCCAGTTGGCTACAGGGAGACCCAGGGTGTTTCGGCTGGTGCTAGCTGCTCACTTCCTGAATGAATGGGCCAAAAAAAGTCTGAAAGTCTGAACTGCCCATTTTTTCCACTCTTCAGTTGTCCAAGCCCAAAAAATAGCAAAAAAAAAGTCCAGAGGAACCCAAAAAAAACGAGGCCGGGCGTGTGGTTGCGCCTGTGCCCCACCCCCCCGCTTCGCCGCTTCCCGCCGCCCGTCCCCGAGCCGCCTGCGCCGCTTGGGCCTCCTCCTGGGACTGCCGCAGCTGCCGGCCCAACGCGGCGCTCGCGGCGGCCAGGCTCTGCAGGCGCACCTAACAACCGGGGGGGTCAGGCGAGAGGCGGGGAAGGAGAAATGAAATGAACCCATTCCCCTTCATTGAAACCCACCCGTTGGATGGGTCTCAGCAGGGAAGGAGGGAATGAACCCAAGGATTCCCACAAAACCACCGGTTGGATGGGTGTTGCTGCGTGGGAATGTCCGAAACAAATGACGGGCCATGAAGACGTTCCATGGCCAATGTTTGCCGACCAGAAGGGAATCCGCGTCACCCGGACTCGATTCTGATGGGGAAATTAAAGGGGGACCACCTATTTGGGAGCTTCCCCCTTGGCGAGCGGCCCACTCCCATTACTAGGATGATGTTCATCAGGTGTTCCCATTTTTTGAACATAGCGTACGAACGTAACATGATTGCCAAACACTGCGCCACTTTATTCAAATATAAGTTCCGAACCAAAAAATGTGATGCGTGCCACAAGTATGGCAGCGTTGACCGTATTTGCCTGTCTTCGCGGTATGCTGTATCAGCCTGGGTGGCCCTACCCCCTGCAGAATGGGAGGAACCTTCAAGGAAGAAGAGAGGAGCCGTCCAAGAACTTGTTTGTGTCTTATGTTGGCAAATCGTTGACCTCAACTTGGCCTCCAACAAAAGTGGGGTAACTCTCGTGGGACCTTACCTCAAACCACCCGGACCACTGGAAATCTGGTGGAACCCTGGTGGAACCCTGGTGGAACCCATCGTGGAACCCATCGTGGAACCCATCGTGGAACCCTGGTGGAACCCTCGTGGAACCTTACCTGAAACCACCCCGGACCACCCCGCAGCCCTTGCGCACGACACACTGCTTCCTTCCAGGGCAAACCACGGAACCTTGCAGAACATTTCTGGAACGCTAGTGGAATTGTGGTGGAACCCTGGTGGAACCCTCGTGGAACCTTACCTCAAGGCCGCCCCGGACCACCCCGGAAGCCAATCTGGGCTGAGACCCCAAAGCTTTCAGCTGTTGGGGGAAAAAAACATAGCGTAGCTTTTCAGCATATCCCAACCCTCCCATGAGGAAGGCCCTGGAATGCCCTGGAGATCTGAGAGGGCTACCAGCCACCTGTCAAATGGCCATGTCGGATTGTGAGGTTGGCTTTCTTCTTTCCCTGCCAGCCAAATGGTTGAAAGGCCCCCATGCCAAGGCGCGTTGCTGATCTCGGGAACGGTGGCGCCCTGCTCCTACCAAAGTTTGCCCTCGACTTGCGGGTCTCAGAAAGCAAACCTGAACTCCGAAACGGCTGGTGAAAAGGAACCTCTTTCGGGAGCATTCCGGTTGAGTTCCTGCAAACCCGCGGAATGCTTGAGTGTCAGAGTTGTTGATGGCAGGAGCATTGCCCCCCTTACTAACCTTCTTGACATCACTGCCGCATGCTTCGAACTGAAAGACTTGTATTGGGCTCAAATGACATCAAAAAAACAGTTTTGAGACATGCCATGGTCCCTCTCCTCATCCTCCCCAAACGTGGGGAGCGCCATATCCACCTGGCCAAAAGCAGGCAAGCAGTCAGCCTAATAGCACTACTGTTCATCAACCTGGCCAAAAGCAGTCAAGCACAAGAATCACAAGAACGGTTGCCTCTTAGATTCCCCGGCACAAAGGCTGCGAACCCCGCGGAAAGCCTCCGTCCACTGCGCCGAAGCCGCCGACGCCGAAGCCGCCGAAGCCGCCGAAGCCGCCTGCTCGCCCGGCTTCACCAACTGCTGCTCCAGGGCGGCGGCGACCGCAGATGTGGTCGCCAGCTGCGCCTGCCGGCCAGGGTGTGGTGCACCTAAGAACTCGAGGTGTTTCTATTTTATTATAAATATATATATATATATATATATATATGTACTAACAGAGTCTAGTTTTCCCTTTTTTGGGGGGGAAGGGGGGTACCCCTTTTCTGTGGGTCTTTGAAGGGAGACCAAAAGAAAACCAACATTTTGAGGGGCTCCCCTGAAACAAGACGCCGAGACACAGCACCCTTTGAAAAGCTGAGCAATTTAACTACGGTTCAACAGCCATTCGAAGACAGCGCGTAACGTAGATCACACAAACACCTGCGCAGGGGAACAAAACCACTTTGCCTCAGATCCCTTCGGAAACGAAACGGACATCAACTGGGTATGGGTTACCAGGGAAGCCCATTTTGGGTACCTTTTGTTTTGACCCACACCCAACTATCCAAGCATTGACTCTCGACCACTCTTCTGACCTCACGATTCGAGCAATCGAACTTGAGAACAGAAAAACTGCACTGGCTCACCAGTCCAGCCCGGACAGCGCGGGGGTCGAACAACCTGCTACCTCCAATCTTGCCCCCCTCACCCCATCCTCCAAATACACACCTCCGTTTCGGGGCCAGCTTTCCGAAGAGTTTGAGCGCGCGTTGGCATGCGAAATGCAAGCAGCAATTGCACGATAGAGAGAGAGAGAGAGAGGTATTGCGCAAACAGATTGCGCACAGATTTCGCAGAGACTGCGCAGAGAGAGAGAGAGAGAGGGAGAGAGAAAGCACAACCGAGAAAGAGAGCGAGAGAGAGAGAGAGAGAGAGAGAGAGAGAGAGAGAGAGAGAGAGAGAGAGCGAGAGAGTGCGGGTGGTGTTTTTGGGGGACGGGGATTCCGACCTTTGGGACATCCCCACTGAAACTGGAAGGAACTTCTTCGTATCTGAGCCCAAGGGAAAAAGGCTACAGTGGATGGACGCAATCCTGCACCACTTGGGAAAAAGGGGAACCATTGTTCCTTGGTATTTACAGGAGAATCATTATTATTTATTCCAGGGTTTCGTAGGTGGTGCGTTGCATGGATTTCGTCCATGACTCAAACCTGGGCTACGAGCTCGCGCCTCTGCCTCCGCCTTGCTTCGCTTCAAGGCGTCGAGCCGCTGAACCAAAGCCTCGAGCCGCTGAACCAAAGCCTCGTTTTTCCCACAACACCAGCTCAGGGGCACTGACGGCGGGGAGACCCACTGAAATCAAGCCACAAAGACGCGACTGCAAGCCATGCGCGGGAACGCGAAAACCCTTCACCCCGCCTGCAGTCGGTTGCCAAGTTCCTCCACAGCCGCCACCTCCTGGCAAGAGTCGCGGGAACAAGACAGCCAGCAGGCTCCTTCCCACAGGATTGCAGGGCGCCTGCGGCCGGCGTCTCCCGCAGCAGGACAACGAGAAGCGGCGCGACTTGGCAGCCGCTTCGCCTCCCGCGCAGCCCGAGCCCAAAAACGCGCGTACCCAACCGCCACAAAAATGCGGACACTGGAGCTGGCAGCTGCAAGGCTGCTCTGGCCTTCGCCTTCGGTTCCTTCGGCACGTGTCGACACCTGTCACACAGCAGTGATGACAAGCCAAAACTGGCCTCACACGGCCCCAACAAGCTGGCCTGGACGGGCTGGTCGCCGGGCAGCTGTGCCTCCAGCGCCAGGATCCGGTCCTTGAAGCTCTCAAGGCTCGGCTGCAAGTCCGCTTTGAAGCGCTCGGCCGCCTCCAAATCTGCCTTGGCCTCCTCCGCAATCGAGACCGCAGCCTTGGACTGCTCCAGCTCGGCTTCCAGCGCTGCTTTGGCCTGCTCCAAGGAGCTGCTGCTGGTCCGCAGCTGCTGCAATTCGGCATGGCACTGCCCCAGCTCAGCCTTGCAGCGACTCCAATATCCACCAAGCGATCAACCCTACTCCGTGGCAGCATATCCAACAAACAAACATGGACAAAAGCTCCAAATCCAAAACTGGTCAAATCTATCGCCAAGAGCCTTAGCAGCGTTGAACTCCTCCTGCGACTGCTGCAACTGCTGCTCCAAGGCAGTCGCAGAGACCGCCGTGCTTTCCATCTTGGCCTGCATGGTTTGATCAGTAAACAGTTTCCAAAGCTTCGACCAGCAAACAATTTCCATAGCTTCGATCAGTAAACAGCTTCCCATAGCTTCGACCGGCAAACATTTGCCACCAATGCTGCAATGATCTAGGGTCGCCATGCGAACTGCGAACCGGCCCCCCCTCCTCCACCTCTGCCTTGCCCTGCTTCAAGGCCTTGAGTCGCGTCGCGACACCCTGCAGCCGCAGGAGTTCTTTGCACGACGAGGCTCTGTGGCAACCCTCCAAGCAAACGCCATACTGTGGATAGACAAAATCCTGCACCACCCAAGAAACAATGGGGAACCATTGTTGTTTGGTATTTACCCCGGAATCATCATTCCCAGGCCTTCTTAGGTGGTGCGTTGCATGGATTTCGTCCATCCACAGTATCACCCAAGATCCTTTTAGAACGCACCATCCTGCATCCCGCGCCTGCAGCCGGAACCCAAGCTCCTCCACAGACGCCGCCTCCTGGACATAAGACGCTCGAACGCAAGCCTCCGTCCAAAAAACAAGCCTTCCTTCCGTCCCAGCCCCCCCATCTCACCGCAGGAGTCCTGCGACCGCCGCCGTGCGCAGCAGGAGAAGGAGCGGCCGCGCGGCTTCGAGGCACCTGCACCGCTGCACTCTGGCGCCAAGACGACACGGCGACCGTCGAGAGGTCCACAAGCCACACTGTGAGTCACAATCTAAACCCGGTAAGAAAAATGGTCCACGCCCAGGAGCCTTCATCCTGTCCATCTTGAGCGGTTCCTGCCTCGGCCTGCATCGCATTCACACGGCCAAACCGCGGCAACAGCCACACAAGCAGCACAGCACAAACGAAACACGGCATGACCCTACCGGACCCTACTCCCTGTTTGTCTCACCCCACCTCCCCCAACATCCGAGTCGCAACTACAGTGGCAAGCTTTGACATAAGCGCCTGTCCGGGCTGGTCGCCGGGAAGCTGCGCTTCCAGTGCCAGGATCCGATCCTTGAAGCTCTCGAGGCTGGGCTGCAAGTCCGCTTTGAAGCGCTCGGCCGCCTCCACGGCATCCTTGGACTCCTGAACTTTGGCCGTCAGCTCCGCCTTGGCCTCCTCCGCAGCCGAGACCGCAGCCTTGGACTGCTCCAGCTCCGCCGTCAGCGCAGCTTCCGTCTCCTTGGCCTTTTGCAGCTGTGCCTCCACACTGGCTTTCGCCTCCTCGCGTGCCTCAAGGGCATCCTTCGCCTTCTGCAGCTGCCCCTCAAAACACGATCAACCAACCCTACAACCCTACAGTGCACAGAGCATCTAAACCCAACAACACAATGCACAAAAGCACCAACTGAGCCTTGGCAACCATGCACTCCTCCTGTGACTGCTCCAACTGCTGCCCCAAGGTAGTCGCAGTGGCCTGCACTCATCCCGTACCATCTCCCTTGCTCGCAACATCTTGCGCCGATCTTGCATCGCGCACTCGCTAAGCCGCTACACACACACATACACACACGCAACACGCGCCAACGGGAGCCCAAAACCCAAGACAAGCAGCGGCTCGCGCCTCCACCTCTGCCTTGCCCCGATT